TCACTGATGCCCTACATTTTTTCTTTTAGCGTCTGGCACCATTTATACACCTACAGTCAGAAATGAAGCTTTAACTCTAAGATTACTGCAGACTTGTAATGCAGTAGCACTCACTGCTCTGACTGTGGTTTAATATGTGAAATCCAAGAAAATGGGTTAGAGAACAAGGAAATGATAGATATAGTGGGCACCTCCCCAAGTGCAAGGTTGTGCCATACCAGAGATTGCTGAGGTAGTTCCAAGTAAGATGACACATTGCTACAGCACAACACGGTGCCGTGAAGAAGTATTAGCTTAGCCCCTGGGAACAGTTCTATCCACTTCATTTGTCTTAATTATCAGGTCTAATTAACTCCAACAAATAGTGCCATTTGGTATGGTTACAATGCTTCATAGGCAAGCCTGGAGATCGCTGTGTTGCACACAATAGGTGTGGCTTCTCATACTGGCAAAGCTCAGCTGCCCAGGATGTGCAGTGTGGAGCTGCTCTTATTAACATGGTTGTCTGTTATGCTGACCACAGAAACTCCTAACTCCCCTCTTCCTCCAACTGTATTAACATTCTGTCTTATTATCTGCCAAAGGAAAGTTTAATTCCAGTTTTAATCCCCTTGCCTTTGCCTTTAGAGACTCTGAATCGCCATGAGACTGCATATTCCTCAGGTCTCCGAAAAAGCAAGGATGCAATACGTTTGTTCAAGTGTGCCAGTGCAGAAATCAGTCTGACTAAATGAAAAAGGTTTCATATTGTGATAGCAATGACACCCCTGCATTCTGGTGGATGCTGCCTTCTTGACCCTTCCAAAACCTCAGTCTCACCTCCCCAGATCTACTCTGCAGCCTCCCTCTAAGCTAAGGCTAAGTGCTATTTAGAAAGGGGTACTTTGTAAATTTGGAGTGAAAATAGACATGAAATATGCCACCAAATGGCGTGACCTTTCTCTGGGCAGCATTAGCCTTTTTGGTTTTTTTCTATGCTGTCTCTGTGCTCAACATCATCTCACAGACCTGCCTCTTCTCTTTCAAATCACTTTATCAGTTTTTGCCATGGAAGAAATATCTGTCAGAGAAATAGGGAAATGATGTCTACTTATGCACTGGGGACAAGAGCAAACTTCAAAAGCAAAACTGTGTTAAACGCATACAATGGAGGAATGATTTTTTTGTTCTTTTATTTTTATAAGGCCTTCAGACTCTCAGCTTTGCAGGACTGAGACTGTCTATTGCTGTATTTACACAGCAGCTAATTAATTTCTGGCTGGATTCTGCTCTTGACTTCTGGCTACTACCAGAATTAGATTATCATAATAACAGCAATTAGGATGTTCTCCTTCCAACAGACTGGATAGCTTCAGACACTTGATCTGACCTATTCAAAAGTTGAACATTAGAAGATCTGAAAATGACATTTCTGAGGATAAAGAATAAAAAAGATACTTTGCAACTGTGTGTCTAATTACAGCTCATTACTCTCTCATCACCTTTTATCCTTTGCATCTTCATACTTGTAAAGGAAAAGATTTCCCGCCATATGAAGTTGATAACAAATCACTTGCACTGCTGATGAAATTTTCTCTCTGTTCTCATTTGTTTGTAACATAAATGCAGAATAATTGGGGGATTGGACAGTACAAAAATATTACCATGCTATAAAATCAGACATGCTTGTGTAAACTGAATGCCAAACAACAACGTATCTGTCATGCAAATCACCAATGCTTCTTGTATAACCTGTAAAGAAGAAAAAAACCTCAAAGGGACCAAATCTAATGAAGTCAGTTTTCAAAGAGAAACCTGTGATACCTTCTCCATGCAAAATCTATACATGAGAACAATCCCAAGCTCCTTAGATCAGAAAAGAATAACTGGTGTGAACTCAATTTGTTACAGTTTGCCTAAAACTATTAACACTATGTAAAGGCTAAACATTTTCATTAACTTAAACTGGAAGAAAATCTGGAATGAAATTATGAACTTGATATCAGAATTTAGTACAGTTTTGTTTCCAAGGCATGTAAGCTTGGCACAGTGTAGCTCTGATCTCGGCAGCTGTGGAGACCTGAGCTGTGCTTTGGGATGTCCCTTCCTCCCTCACCAAAAGAGTGACAGCAGCCACCCATCCTGTCACATGCCAATATTCTGCCTTGGTATTCACAGACACACACAGCTGCTTTGCTTTTCTCCAGCAAAAGGCCACTGCTCTGGAAGCTGCATCTCCGTGTCGCAGCAGCAGCTTCCCAGCTGGACTGTCCTGGGCACGGATCAGGTAGAAGAGCGGGCAGCAGGGTGTGATGCTGCTGGTGCCGGGCTCCCAGGGCTGCTGACTCCTTCTGCAGAGGAGGTGACAGCACTGCTGGAGAGCAGCAACTCTGCCCAGCAGCAGCTGCAGCTCCTCACATCCCCTGCGAGGCATCCAGCTCTACAGGGAGGGGCTGAACAGCCATTCTGAGCACTCAGGGAAAAGGAAAGTGGATGCTCCAGTATTGGTCTTCTGTTAGAGAATGGAGATACGATGTGCTTATTTTCTGAAATGAAGCTGATGGGTGTGGCTGCACTAGATGGGTAAAACCAGAAACAGTATCTTGGATGAGCTAATTTAATCTTTTTTAACACGTGAGCAATCCTTTTGCAAACAATGTTGGACTAGTTCATTGCTTCTTGATTAGATGCAGAAAGGAATCAACTTTGTAACACAAAATATGCTGCTTCAGGAGATTAATAGTAAATTGGATCAGGGAAAGATTGCAATCACAGCCCTGGACACCATGTAGGAACAGATGGTAGCCTATGTTAATAACTTGGAAGGCGAGAGTGGCAGGGCAGAATGGAATGCATTTTAATGAACTCCATTAAAATCAGGAGGACCAACTGTGGCCATATTTAAGGTCTTGCTTCTAATCTTATAGAATTCAAAGCAAAAAGTTATATTGCCATTATCAACTGAGTTAAACTCAGTTTCTAGAATATCTAATGTAAGAATCAATGATTTAAAAGCCAGCAGAGCTGGGGAGAGAAACAGCATGCTGATCCATATTTTGTGACTGGATTTATTGAGTTTCCTGTTTAGGAATGAAACCATAGAGGGTGAAATTGTGTATATTTATAATAATTTATACTAATTTCAATTTTCATTAATTATTGTTTATACACAGGAACTTTTTCACTATTGATTCTGGGATTTACTTAGAATTTCTAATGACAAGAATGGCATTTACTCTACTCAGAAAGACAGTATCCACAGCAACACAGAGATGAGATCGTATTCAGGGTCAGATTTGGAATAGACAGAAAGAGTCAAGTGCCTCCCAACGAATCCTCTATATCACTCTCTGCAGAATTAGGATTAATGTTAATATTTTTTTGAAGTCCTGATTCAGCCCAACCACCTACACTTTATATACTGTATGATTAACTCTTCCTCAAGAGCTTCCTGTTCTATTCTTTACAACCAAGAAACAAACTATGGCTTGATCTGAAGCCACCTTTTGAGTGATCAGCATGCTCTGCTTAGCAAATAGAGTGAATTATGTTCTGTGAATTATCCTGTTGCAGTACAGGATGTTTATAGTTCAACGACTAAAGCACTACGAGCGTTGGGGTGCTCAGGGATGTCCTGTGCAGTCTGTAACTGCTGTCACTACTCCTTCAAGGTTATGGAAACACGGCAAGGAGTGGCTATTGGAAATTCTTAGTAATCTGTGCTAACTGTATGTAGATCCAATCCTGACACTGAGTTGCTGAACAGCAATTTTCTAGTAGCTGTTCTCCAAATAGGAGGTTGTTACACCAGCAATATGTTCCAACCTGTAACAGTGGCTTTCATTTGGTTTTGATGCTTCTCAGCTCTCGGAAGCTTTTGCCTTCATCGATCACTCTCAGAGAATAATCTCCTGCCTGACATCAGCTTTCTCAGACTTCTGCTTCTGATTCACTCTGACATGACTACAGAACATCACTTTCAAACATTAGTTTGAACATCTCTTCCCCTTTCCACGTCTTAGATTTCTCATGTTCTGTTGTCATTCTACATATTATAATTACCTTCCTTCCTTTCTTCCTTTTTCCTCTACTGTGTTTAGTATTCAAATATTATAATTAACAAAATAAAGTAACACAACAGCAGATGAACAAAACAGTTCTTCCATCAATAGACAGTATAGTCATTCAACTTTTTTCTACTTTTCTTTGTCATTATAAAAATCTACCATATCATCAAAGCACCACTATGAAAGACATTCTGGACAAAATAATATAGAAATGATCTTCAAGTATTCATTTTGTTTAATCTTTCATGTCTGTTGAATTGCATTGTTTTTTAAGTCCAACCGCGTACTTTTTCCCCACCCTGTCCGACTTGCTCTGTAATTAGTAGCAGACTTGACTAAAGAAAATGGCAGTTTCATGCAGGTATTTTTACTTGGTTTTCTGCATTAACCACATTTTAATGAGTGGCTTTGAAGCTGTTAGTTGAAGACTATCTGCTGTACTGAAAAAAATGTATATTTTAGTAATGGTTAACCACAGTAATATCCTCGGGGATAAAATGAAACTGCATTTGATTCTGTTGGAACTAGAATGAATACAACCTCCTCTTGAGCACAAAAAGATTTAATTATAGTGTGCGCTTTCTCCATAATTTCATTCTGTAAATGTTTCTTACAGCCGGATTAGCAATTTTCAGCTAGTAAGAAAATATGAAGTGTCTACAATGCTCTCCAGCAAGGATATTTGTGGTTCTTTGGACCCTTACGATTTTTGACAGAACTAGGTAATAAGAAATAGCATTTCAAGTCACAGTTCTTTTGTCCACAGATGACCTTATATAGTCACAGTGCAATGATTTCCTTCCTTTCCAACACTTCTTTTTCATTAATCTGTGAAGCATCTTACACAAGTAGTCCAGAAAGCTCTTACCACACACAGAAATCTGATGCCAGGTGTCACACTGGAAATGAGTCTTAGTGAACTCTCTAGTGTAATTAATAGTTTGTTCTAATTACCTTCCAGAGCATATTTCATATCCTGGGCAAACAGAGTCCACATGATTTCAGCACTGATTTTCCCCATGTTCAACTCTTGAGGGAACCTGCAATCAATCACATTACATCAGTTCACCTGCTGTTAGAAATTATCCTTACAGCTGCACAGCAGAAAGGCAAATATTTCCACAAAATAATTCCTCTAGTATGCACTTACTTAGTACTTTATGTTTTGTACAATTACATAAACCATCCAATCTTCAAAGTCAAACTTCTTCAGTGCAGAGGCCTGGGTAAATAATTAGTTGAATGTTGCACAAATTCCCTCACATGACATTTTAAATCAAGAAACATGTATCTATCTTGCAGATGACTCTCGACTAAATCAGATGGTTTATGAAAAATCTGATACAGCTGGCTCAGATGTTTAGAGCTACAGGTTTCCCTAACTCCCTTATTACACTGGAAAACAGTGAAGCTGTCTGTGAAGCTATATTGGTTTTTACTAGTTAAATCCAATTCACTGTCTGAAGACTTCCACCTTGAAGTATGGATAAAGGACTAAAGAAGATAACAGTAGTGAAATGCAGATTTTGATTCAGAATTTTAGTTTTGGTCTTATGCTTCATGTCATCTTTGAGAAACAGTCCTTTTTAGACACGTTCTACTGTTATCAATTCAGTATTTTTTCCACAGCTTTTTCATAGATCCCATCTGTTCCTTATTCTGTGTAAAAGAAAAGCTTTAATCTTTCAGTTACCATCTTCACTGTTTGCTATGAGAAAAAAGCTGACATTTAAGTGATAGACACTATGTTTTTTGTCACATTTTAAAGGAGAGCTATTTGTCTTAAAAAAAAAAAGGCTGTTCTTAACGCAGGTGTGGGATGTTCTCAGAGCACAGAAGCAGACCAAGCCAGGTCATGCAGATGAAGAGCAGAAAGTACATCACAGAATCTCTGAGTGTTAGAGCAGTTTGTTTACAGCACAGGGGGCAGTGAGAGCCACATGAATACACTGGGATCACCTAAAGTAAGGAAATTATCATATTCATGAGAAAATACACAGAGTCTGTGACTTTTGCCTTGAGTTTATTACAACATTTTACGTGAGCAGAGAATTTGATCCAAAGTATTTTCACGTTTTATTAAAGCACTAAAGAGATTCAGAAAATATTCTGTAATGATTTTTGTAAAAGTGTAAGAATTTTTAAAGCTCTTGCTGACAAAGAAAGAGTGAGAATTATGCGCAACTTTATAGTGGTAGCAGCATGATCTAATTAATGTATACTTTCTAGGCACATATTTGACCCTGATCTTATCTGCACAGAAAAAGTACTTAAACAGCTCATTAGCTCAGTCACTTTAATAGGAGGCAATTGCTATCTCAGTTCACTGAGCCTTCTTTGTGCTAATGGCTGCTCAGCTAAAGAACTCTGTATTAATTCTGTTAACATAAAATTAATTGCTGCTCAAAAGCTGAAATGCATCTCAGCTGTCTTTGTTTCTTCACGTTCAGTCCAGTCTGAGTGCTCCCTCAGCACTAGACTTGAACTTTGGCAGTGTTGCTCTGAGGAAGTATTTGGCAGCTGATTTAATATTGACACTGTCTTTTGACCATAATGCAAAGCTGGCCATAAAACAAGGCTGGGTCTGATAAAAATGCATTTGTTTGATTAGTGGGATATATATGTGTATGCATTTTAATTTGTGAAAACACATGCACACACATAAACTTCAATTGTCTGTGTTGTATAAATTACTGTAGTTCAACACAGTGTCCTGGAGTCATCCTACCTGACTTCACTTAGGCTAAGTCTAAAATCGATGATAGACTTTTTCTTTTCCAACTATTTCAGACTTTGGTCCCTAAGCAGCAAAATATCAGACAAATTCCCCATGCAAAACTCTACAAATTGCATTTTCTAATCTTTGTAAGCCACGTATTATCACATTTCTCAGCACAGAAAAAGGACGACCAGGAGAGTGTTCTTTCTTTTTGCTCCTGATACTGTTATTTCTGTCCCTTAGGCCAAAATTTTCCCAATTTCTATGTCATTCTTAGAACAATACTACAAAATCTGAGTTTATCCAAAACAGTTAGGTTGCCCCTACATAATGATATCCATGTATTTCCAAAACTACTAAACTGCATATAAAAGGCAGACACTTCTGGATGTCTTCTCTCTACTGATTTTAATGAAGCCAAAAATTAGGGAAAACTGTTCTCACTGGCAAGTTCTAACAAAGGGTTATATACAAAACCACAGATCAATGGAATGAACTCGGCTTAAATGACAGTGAAAAGAATCAATGTATAAGCAAAACACCCCCAAAGCTTTTATCCCAGATAGTGCTGCATGTCTCCAGTTCAACCCTGAAATACGAAAATCCTATCATGACAATTAAAAGTGCTTTTTCTTAATTTGTGCTCTCAGATCTTCCAGTGTGCTACATTTTGAGAATATCAAAGTCCCTGAACCTCAGAGGCACATTGTCAGAATAGCTCATATTCCGTCCTTGGATGGTTCAATCTCATCCAGGTACTAAATCTCACTGCTCTTATGAGTAAATACATTAATTTTTGTCCTGAGCTTGCAGCAAGAGGTTAGATCACACCATCTGTGGAGTGCTGGCCACAGTCACTGCTTCACTAATCCTTAAGACAAAAGTTCTATCTGATTTTGGAAAACATGTATTCTATTTAAACTGTGAGCAAAGAGTTCATTTATTCTTACTTTTTGTACTCTATTCTCCATCTAGCCAAAGTTTTCATTTTTAAATAAAGTAACATTCCTTTTCTTGGAGAAAACATAACACATAAGACAGATACTTTGTACTACAAAATTATTAGTCTATATAACTAACCTGGTCTTACAGTACTACAAGAGCACAGGACAGTGTATGTTGTGAAAAACCAGAGTACGGCTTTGTTTCACAGGATAATGTTCACAAGTTCAACAAAAGAAGTGATATTCATGTGTTTTCACAGAATAAAGTGTAACTGATAATGGAAAATATTACCGAATCGAGACACAAAACACGTCAGATTCACTTTTCACCATCCACGAAACATTCTAGTCAGCCTGACACAGCCCAGTTCCTGACACAGTGTACTCTGACTTTTTTCACTTCTTTCCACAATTTTTTTTTTCCCACTGACGTACCTTTCACAACTGGCTGACTCACAGGTTGCTGTTTCTGCAATATAAGTTACTATCCTTTACTTCACAGCTTTATCAAACACCCAAGCTGCTGAAGCATGAGGAAATCTGCTCCCAAAGATGTCACGACCCAGTACATTCCATACTGTGGAATGGGGAGGGAGTGTGTGGAACACAGTGTGATCACAGAGAAAACAGATCCTCGCATTGCAAAGATCTAAGGAGCAGTGAAGAACAAACTGAAAAGTCCCACTAGAGCTGTCTTGTTTCTTAAATTTGTACCACAATAACAACTTGACTATTCTGAGTATATATGCCAAAAAAAAAAAAAAAAAAAAAAAGTGCAGAGGCGCAAAGTTTAGATTTTCCTTTCAAAATGCACAAGCATATTTCAGTTGAAGATTTTGGTTTTGATTTGTTGTTCCTTTTATTAGAATAACTCTTTATTTGGATAGCAATTTCTGCTGTCTCACAGCCCACACAATGTATATTTACAAGTAACAGGAAGCTCTAGATTTGCTTGTGAATCAGATTTCAAGCACATTTTACATTGTTCAACTACTTGAATGAGAATTTCACACCTTAAAAACCAGACCATGTTTTCCCCCTCAAACCTGTCGAGTTTCTTATGCCATGTAAGAACTGCAGGTTGTTCCCACACTCCCACTGGATGGTCTGATCTGGTCTGTCAGTGGCTGCAGTGCTTGCTGAGGCGATCATGTCATGTTTCATTTGGATTCATAATCTGATACAGTTCAAACTACTGTATCACAGCATAATTTTTGCCTCTAAGGTAGATATAAAAATAGAGTTTCCAAAAATGGTTGAGGAAAAGAATTGTGAGCAATATTATAAAATTGTGAAAACTCCTATTAGAATGCTTGGAGCTCTCCTGAGGATCTTCAGTTACCTCATTTCCAAAATAGATTTCAAATCGATGTAGGCCTGAATATTCCACTGAGACACTCATGGCCATGTATTCCTGATTAAGGAATCATAGTTTTGCAATATTCTTATGTATTCAGCTTATATTTCCCTTTCATCCATTTTAATCTATTTTCTTTTCTGGGGTAAGCCAACAGGAAGAGGCTGTCATTTGTTCTCAATAGTTTTTACATGCTCCTTTTGGTTTAGGAGAAGCTTTTTTTAAAAAAAAGGTATCCAAAGCAACTGCACAGTTTTTCAATTTTTTTACTCTCACAGTTTCTTCATCTTTTGCTCCTCATGTCTCCTACTTCTCAAAGACATGTTATTCCCTGTGCTCACTCTTCCACTTACAAAGTAACAGTGAAAATGGGAGAGAAGTCAGAGACACCAGCTCTCTCCCTTAATCTGTCCCAATTCCGTCCACTCCTGATTCTCTTTTCACATCTTCCACAGTCACTCAGCTGTACTTTAGGGAACCTCCTAATCCCCTTAGAAGAACTGTGTTATTTATCCCTTTACTTTCGCCCTCACATTTGTATAAAAATATAGCCAGAATAATTTTTAAAGATAATTAACCCCCAGTTACACTTGTTTAATTTCAACAAAGAGACTGAAATGAAACACAAGTGTTTATTGGTTTCAGTTACGTGTTTTATAGTAAGTGTATTTGTTATGCAGCTGTCAGATAAAAAATTAATGGAGGAACCTCACACTAAATTGTAAAAATGGAGTAAACAGAAAAAGTGTTTTCTTTCCTCTGTAGGGTAAAAACTTATTCCTTAATAAGGTCAGTTTAGGAAATGACTGAACAAAGAGATGCTTATTATCCAGAACTAAAACAATCCTTCATTTGTTTAAAGGAAGGAATCAGAAGGCAAAGAAATATCTTCCAACTGCTGGTTATCACCAGGAGGTTTCTTTGTTGATTATACTTTGAGTCCATAAATAGTGTGGTATCTTTTATCAACAAATAAACACATCTCAGTGTGCAGAGTGCCTTCAGTATCTACCCTATGGTGGCTGAAAGAAACACACTTATTCCTGCTCCCCTTCAGACCATTCAGTTAAATGCAACCACAGACACCTCTATTTCTTGTTCTGTCACAATACAGATGTAGGTTTCAATTTAACTTTAGCATAAGTCATTACAGCCAGACTGTGCCCAGATTTTCTACAGTCCCTCTGTAAAATAGCTCCGAAGACCTAAAGGAGCTGAACCATTTCCCTGGGGCCTCTTCATGTCGCATTTCAATTAGTGCTACATCAGTTTCTGCAGCTGTAAGATGTGAAACATGTTCCTTTGCACTCCTATATATTTTGTGTTCAAACACAGCACTCTGTCTCCTCCTTCTATATTTATTGATTGGCTCTCTCTTTTCTACTACTGCATCAGCCTTAAGTTATTTGACCTGTCTTGGTTATTGATTGTACCTCCCTCATCCCTTACATCTTCAATTCTGAGTAGTCAACTTCCATCTCTAGCATATTGCTCTCCATTTTATAAATTTCCAAGTCAGTGTGGCTAGGCTTTCTCCCTAGCCAATTGTAAATTTGGAGAGGGTCTTTTTGTGAAGTTCATTATTCTGTTACAAATAAATCCCTAAAACTCATGCCTAAAAGACTCTCAGTGTGATTTGAACACCATGTGCATCAAGGTACTATAATAACATTAATGCTATCACACCTTTTCACTGAACTTTGCTTCTATCCATTTAGTTCTCCTGCATAGTATTTTGCAACTTTACTTTTTTGGATGGTTCATATACCACCTGTATTTAAAGTTTCCAAAACTAAAGATTCTCTTTCCGTTATCAGAGCACTCACTAGGTTTTTATCAAATGATGCCAATGTAATGTTCTGCATAAAAGCCTCTGGCTAGATTCTATTTAAAATTACAAGTACTGATTAAAGTGCATTTCCTGTCCTTAATTTAATAAATCCATGATTCTTAACTTATATAGGGAAATGAATTACTTACTGGTTCAAGATTGGTGTATATGCTGTTTTATCTTCATCTATAATGGTGACCATCAGAGTAATAAGCTGGGCCCAGAAATCCAAATTCTTTGTTGTTGGTCCCTGTTCTTCTTTAGGAACTTCTTGTTTCTTACTCTGTTAAAACAAGATTGAATATATTTTTACTAGAGAAATTAGAGAAAATATTATGGATTTCCACCTACAGATTGTTACTTGGCTGGGAAAATTGATATGCTAAGAATCTTCAAAAGTTTTGGAAAAAGACTGATTATCCAACTCAGAGTAGATTTTATGGAGTACTGTACTTGGCTGTGGACAAATATTAAAAAAAGACTGTCACATCAGCAAAGAAGATCAATAAAGGTTTTATTTTTAGTGTATGTCTGTCCTTTAATTAAGTATATTCTTAAAATTCTTTGTTGGGCTCAAACTGAGTGCAGGTAAAATTGTCTGCTGAGGCAGAACTTTTATACCTTACATAATAAAGACCAAACAAATCAATGCTAAAGAGCATTTAATGTTTTGTTTTGAATTATACACTGAAGATATTCAGCCTAATAGCTGCTATGCTGTATGGTCTAAATGCAGAAGTAGTTAAATTTCCCTTTATTTTATTGAGAATTTTGTACTTTTTAGTTTCACTGAAATGTGCATTTACAGCTAGATTTTTGTCTCTGCAGTTTTGATTTATGAATTCTTAGCCTACAATTTCCTAGACAAAGTATTCTGCAGTTCTTTGCTTGACAGAAAGATCAGATTCCTTATCAATGTCCAATAAATAACTTCATTGCAGAGACCCAAAGATGAAAATAAATATTTCTAGCTCTGTATGGATACACACATAAATACACACATAATTTCTGCCTCTTCTACACAGCTGCCTGAGATGGAAAGGGGTCTCAGCTAGTAAGTCAGAAAGAACACGTCTGTGATGCTGCAAGTTTAAACATCTATTCCCTGTACTTTCATTCCTACTCCTATGACCACTGCAACGGACCCTGTACCTTTTTGAATAGACATAACACTGTTTTAGTGTCATGGTGAATTAATTAAATGTTATTTTAACCTCAATTAACTTTTATCTATTATTAGCATTTAAATGGCAGAAAGGGAATTTCAACAGCACTTAATTGAAATTGTTTCTGTGGCCACTGTGGAATATTTTAGAAAAGTGTCATTAATCACACAGCTACGTACTCAGTTGCACTACAAATGGTACCACTTCAAATGTCTAAACCAACTGAAATAAAGCTCAGGTACAAGGGAGGATGGGCCTGGTGTCACTGGCAATTAAAAACCACACATGCAAATGAGAGTGCTTTTCAAAACAGAAATGAACATTGGAGCATTAATGTCACTCACAAGGGCTTTCATTGGTGTACATTATATTTTTATTAGAAGGCCTTGTTTCTATATCAAAGATTTATGTCTAATATACCATCTTTTTCTCAGAGGTCTGTGCATGTTTAAATCAAATCAACTGAAAGGCAGTTCTAGAAGACAAAGCCACTTCACATTTATCTCAGCATCTTATACAAAAACTGTATTTCACAGCAAACAACTTGCAGTGACATGTAGCTGAGACAGCTTTTCATGACTGTGAATGTGAATCACAGAATGTGAAATTCATTTTTTTAATAGAGATAGAAAAAAGTAAGTAATTTACAAAGTAGTAGCTGCATAAGGAGGCTCTTTCTACAAAAATTCTCTGAAACAGGTATCTCTTAAAAATCAAAATGGTGCTTTCAAAAGACCCAGAGAAGGTATTTTAAAATAGTTTCACATTAACAGGAGGAGCTGTGTGCTTGAAATAAAAGTACGTACTCAGTGATGCCCAGTGATAATTTCAATTCTTTATCCTAAAATCTAACTAGTGTATTAGAAACAGAATCATTCCAGCTGTTTTTACACTGTTAGTATTATTGGCATTGTTGTTTGTTTTATGTGGTTTCTGGCAACAGAGGCCTTCATAGAAGCATTATAGAAACACAGAATACCCTGAGCTGGAAGGGACCCACAAGGATCACTGAGTCCAACTCCTGGCCCTGCACAGGACAACCCCAAAAAAATCACACCTTGTGTCTGACAGCATTGTCCCAATGCTTCTCCAACTCTGGCAGGCTTGGTGCAGTGCCATTATAATGAGGCAAAACAATGCTGGAAATTTGATTGCATTGAGCAGTTGCAGAGTTGAAAAAACAACAAAAGAAAGTTCCATCTTGGAATAAAAAATAACTTGAGAACAAGGTATTTTCATATAGAAAAAAAATTTCAGTGGTGTAATGTGTTGACTTCAAAATGTTTCTATTGGCACGACTGAGAGGAATAGTGAGCAGCATAACAGTGTAGAAAAAGTGAGTGGGAGTACAACATCATAAAATTATAGTTGCATTTTAACATATTTGTAACTAAATTAAACACTTTTTAGAGGCATTGAAGTTTGATTTCCAAAGTGTTTTGCTGAAGCCAATGTTGGTGACATGTGTTCATCATCAGTGTGTTGTGAACAGTCAGGAAGAACACTCCCTTACAAGATGAAAGAGCAAGTTAAGTTTTTCCTTCACAGTGGTCTCAAAAAACTGAAAAACAAGCAATTATCTCCTCTGATTTCATAACTGTGATCATAATAGCTCATGTCTTGATCCTGTGATTTGGTCCCATATCCAACCAATTCTCCATGATATGCATCCTCTTACTTTAGGAAATAATACCATACACACCTACTTAGTACAGAGTATTTACAGGCTATGCAGAAGTTGTGTAAAGGGGTTTTAAAATGCCCAGATTAGATTAGATTGTACACAGGTAAAGTATATGCTTACAACAGCTTATACACCGAATTTCTGGAGTATAAACATAGTTAACTGTGTGGTCTATTCAGTGGAAAAAGCTTATCTTGGTAACAGTAACTTTCTTTTTTCACTCTAGTTATATTCATTAGAAGAAACTGTTAGTGTAAAAACATTAACTAAATACCTGATATACCCAATTAGTGCCATGTTGGCACAAATACAGCGAGAAGATACATGAGCCACTAAATACTGCTTATCACTGTGGAGGATGTTAACAATACTGAGAATATTTTAAAAATACAACTAAAAAGGTCAAGAGGAAAATAAAATCTCAAAATATCAAGATGACAAAATCATTAATTAAACTGATGCTATTCATGATTCTTGACTTTTAAAAAGAATGATTCTGTGATGTTTCCTGTCTTTTGTTTTTGTTTGATCCAGTACTAACAAGCTAAAATCACAAGCTGCTCTTTATATTAACCAAGAAAACTTTCAGGAATACTGACACAAATGAAAGTTTGCCAATTAGCAGAATCACTTTCATCTTCACCAATCATTTCACTTAGGAAAGTGAAACCACTGAAAATATCTTGACATCACTTGGGAGGTATTGCTGTCCCATGCACAGATCCATGAAATGCCATAAGATGTCTTGTACTTAAAAGCTCAACAACTAAACTGGCCGAAGGCAGAACAGTGATATTCCTGAGGGGCTTCTGCTGGCAGATCAAACAAACAGTAATACCAAATGATGTCTTACATCATCAAGACATGACAATACAGGTTTTTATACACTCTGTTAATTGACTTGGCTACTTCTTGTATTTAGGATCACTCTAAAGTTGTAGCAAACACCTTACAAGAAAAATATGTTTAGAGAGAAGTCATATTATTCACTAAAGACTTACAAAGACAGGAAATAGTGCAGATTCTATGTGTTTGGTTTTTTTTTTAATGTAACTTCTAAACTATGTGATTTATAATTTTTTGTCTTTTACCACAGAAGACACCAAAATCAGAATGAGGAAGTAAGAGCAATTTTTCATAGGATATATATCAAAATAAATTCTTTACTTGCACTAAACCATGTTTTTCTCAACTTCCTTATACTATATATATGCCATACATATACACATATGTATATATGACTCTCTCTCTATATTTGCATATATGAACTGAATTCATATATGAGAGCAATGGATCATGTACCACAGACCCACCAAAATCAGTGGCTGGGACTTCAATAATAGAAAAAATAAAATATAGAGGGATTTTTCCAAGTTCAAGGAAAAAGAAAAAGGCTAAACTGTTGACAAGCAAACATATTTTGTACTCTGGAACACTGACTGAAGGTGGAGAAAGCAATTGCAGGCACAGTGTGAAGCAGAATTAAAATCTACATCTGTATTACCCTGAGACAAATCTGTAAAGGCTGATCTGAGGAACACAGGCCTTTCAACTTCTGTCATCATTGATTTTACCAGTCTGTAGAATGAATGTCTGGGTTTATATTGCTTTGTTTTTATTTTGTTATGTTCTGTGCAATCAATACACATTAGTCTCTGTGTGACTTTGATAAGTCCAATCCTATGATATCAGAAACTTATCTATTGCTGTCTGATACCTCAAGCTACGTTTTAGAATATAATATTTTCTATATAAAGAATGATAGAGTGCAAACTGAAAGGAAACCAGCACAGTAGCCCTGATTAGCACTAGGCTACTGAGGGCTATGTTATATGCCAGTCTTAGATGATGAAATACTAATTTTAACTGTACTTCTGTATTTTTAAGCTGTTTAGTTAGTATTACTTAATTTGGAAGATGTTAAGAATCCCCAGGAGATATACAATATGCATTATACATAAAACATACACATATATAGACATTTATATATTGAACACACCTATTTTTAGAATGTGATAATTTTTTTTTAAATCTATATTTATGGATGTAAAATATTGAAAACTAGAAACATTTGCAGGCACTCAACATGCATTCAAAACCTGTGAGGAATTTTTCTGAGCAATGCTGTTGCATAGTAACTGCTAAAGTGTTTTCTTGTTTGAAACTGAAACCCTATTCTTAGAATCATTATAGAATCATAGAATTGTTTGGGTTGGAAAGGACCGCAAAGATCATCTCGTTCCACCCTCCTGTAAACTGAGTCAGAAAGTTATCAAAGTGCTTCTGAAACTACTTTTTCAAGATTTTTTTTTTTCCACATGGGGAAACTAAGCACTCCACTCAGATCAGTGTTAATTAAAAAGAGAGAATACTGCATCTGCTGCATAAGGAACTAGGTAGTTCCTCATCAGAGGGTTTTGTCTCAGACAATGAGGACAGTAATATACATGTCAGTAAGACTGCCAGGCTGTCACGTTTTACTCTCTTTAGTAGTCATTTGTATTTTGTCATCAGCTGTTCTCTGTATTCTGGTGTGGAACCGTAGCACGCTATTTTTGCACACTGCTAGCATTTGCCATGCTTCACCCCAGGAAACATAGCTGTTCCCCAGGGTGATGTTTTGCTGCAAGACATTAGCTTTATAACAGTGATTGTGTGTCTGACACAAGGTAGAGGGCAATAAAAAGAGAGACTGCTGAGAATATTTTGTAATTTACTTGTTGCGCTTCTTATAGTGATAAATTCCCCAAAACTCCAGCTTGGGCACCCTCAAGGTCATCATTCATTGTTCTATTTTCACCCCAAAAATCAAACAATTACACACATTCAGACATTAAGTGTATTTTCTTGACATTCTGAGGCAGGCATCTCCGAGAGTTTCAGGTTGCAGGCAGAAGCAAACTCAGGTGATGGTTGACATGAGTTCCACACAGAGCTACACCCTGAGCGCTCCGTGGGCCTTGACAGGACAGCAGCTGCCAGGCTGTCCCCCGAGAGAGAGCAGGTGGTGACCTACATATGAACCGTTTCTTGCTGCTTTGGGGTTCATTGATTTCAGTTCTCAGTAGTCACAGCTCAAACCTCAGCTGTGCAGCTGAAACGTGAGCCTCCTGTGCTGCACCCCCATGGTGGTGTGACCTGCCTTCCTCCCTCTGAGAGGAGACCTCACCTGAGGGGGAGGTAGGCAGAGAGAGGAGTGGCTGAAGGGTGGAATATGGTGTAGTTGGACTAAGGGGTTTGGACACAAAGCTAATGAAATGTTAATTAAAATATTGGTTACTGCTTCATTATTATAACAGTGGTACTACAAGCCAGTCACCTGGATTCACTGGGAAACCTCCAGAGCTAGAGGTTTGAACAAGCTGTATACTTAGCTGTTCCTAAAAGCAAATGTACATGTGGATGTATTGATAGGAAACTGTAAGAAGATAATGGTGATCACAGTTTCCTTGCACAACTATAGAGTTGATGCAGAATTTTGGGAGTAATTTGAATTATTTTACTCATCTCTCTATTAAAGCTAGACTAGTTATAGTTCTCAGAATTGTCTCCCACCTCCTGTGAAATAAAGTTTTGTCTGGCATTAAGATTATATGTGATTGCTTATTGATTATTGTTAGAAATTAATTATTTTGAATGCAATCTATTTATCTGCATTTTAAATTTTGGGTTTTTTTACAAATCTTCACTGAAGTTTCTTGCACTTCCTAGTGATTGCAACTCTGTAGACACTTATTTGCTTAATGTTTCTTTGTAAAACCGCCCCTGCTGGAGATATTGTGAAAAAGAACACAAGAGGCACAGAACTACAGTGAAATGCAGTTCACTCAAATATCAAACAGAGGGGCTATAATAGCCCTGTATTTTAAAACCATCTTTTAGAATAGACAAGCTAAACTATTTTACGAATTCACAGAAAACAAGCAGTGAATTTTTTGAACACAGATAGGCTTTTGCAGGTGTTACAATGCTTTGCAGAACTAAGACTACTTCATTTTTAGCTGTTTACTAAAATTGCTGGAATCTGCTGATGAACTGCAGGCTTATGTAATACCCAGAGTAGCAGCACTTCATATTATATTTACCAGACAAGATCAAATTGCTGCAGAGTAAACATTAGCAAGAAAACAGAGCAGTTTATGACGTAAATAGATGTGATGCCTGAAGCTGCTTCTTCTACTAATTTATACTCCTACTCAGCTTACAATATAATCTGTTGTAGGATAAACACACACATGAGCACTAAGGATGTGGAGTGCTCATGGTGGTGGTGAAAAATTTGCATGTTCAAAGCTGTAGATAAGTTATCTCACATATCAGGAATCCAACATTGGAAAATAAATTCTCATTTCAGAAAAGTTGAATAAACAGCATATACTACCCTTCCTGAAATACAGTAATTAATATTTTGGATTCAAATCAAATGTACTTTCAGATTAATTTTGATGTCTTATATCAATAGCATGAGTGTATACTACACAGAAAATGTGCTTTTGCCAAACAAATAATCCTGTTCAAGGATGGAATAGTCACTCTAACACCATTTTTTCAGTGTAGAATCCAGGAAGAAAATGCAAGGAACAAGAGGTAATGTCATAAAGCAGTGATGGTGCTTTAAGTCAGTTCTCAGTTTTAATGTTACAGAATGAACTCTGGCCATATAGTCTTAAACAAGTAAACAACATTCTCAAAGATTTTGAATGACATTTGGAACACAATACATGCTATAATTATTTTACATTGGCAGGTCAGCCTGACAGACTAATATTAAGAAATGTTTCAGAATTATCCTCTGCTTTCTTAAAGCTGTTATTAAAGCTTGGATCCAAGTATGCATCATATGTGTTAAAATATAAGGCTGGAAAGACAGAATATAATTTTCAGCAAATGATGATAGTGTTTTTCCTAAAGCTGCTAAAGTGAAATATTAGATTTTTAAAAAATATTTTCCAGTTACAGATCTTAAATGAACAGTAATCAATCTAATGTCATCTTCCCTAAAATCACTGGACAATTTTACAGTCATGTCTGATGTGATGACTCAATTATGAGTTAACATGCTCATTTTGAAACTCAGCTTGGTAAACATTTTGGAGTTCATAGCTATCTGTGGGTGTATTTATGATAAATTGCTCCTTCATACATAAATAAAATGAAAATAACCTGAGAGCTCTGATATGAAGGAGCACGGCAAGGCTTTCCATTCACGTAAGGTAAACTAACAATAATGAACGAGCAATAGCTTGAAACAAGTTCATATTGACCTTACCTGATCCACTAACTGGGAGTAGAGATCATAGCAATTGTCAAAGATGTATCTGTAAGTTGAGTCCAGGCAGGCTCTTACACAATCTTTCACCACAGTGCTGGCTCGAGGCGGGCTCTGCAGTTCCAGGACCTAATAAAAAATTTGGCAATTGGCAGAATGTCAGAATTATATCACACACAGAAAATCCAATCATCGAATGTAGTTCTGTCATATAGGATGAAAAGCACTGAAATATCATAAAATAAAATAAAAAAATTAAAATTGTGTTGACTTAAGATGATCTTAGTTCAGATGCATTAAAACACATACTGAAGTTAGGTAAGCAGATTGTATTACTAAGTTTTATTTGAATGAAATGACTCATATGTTGAAAGAGGTCCAAGGGTTTACATCTTAGGGTTTACATCCTGAAACTCTTTAATTATTTATGAAATAATTAAACCATATAATTACGTGCTTTCCTTTGAATATCAGCCAAATAGCACTTTAATTTTTAAGGCTAAGGGTTCAGCTTTTTCCTCCACTTTAGGATACATTAATTTCAACTTTAACTTAAGGGATTATTTTAATTCTCTTTATGTAGTGCCTAATGCAATAAAATCACATACTATTGCAACAAATGTTGTTTTGTGTTCTGGTTTTTGTTCAGTAACATTAATGAGTATCATTCCATTCCAAAGTATTTCAGTACTTGATCACTTAGATATGAACCTTTGGAGTTACTAAGGCAAATAGAGTTATCAGATCTATTTTGCTGTTTGACTTGTGATTTTATGATATTACTAAGAAAATATTATTTTATATGACACATGTTCCTAAGGAGTTTACCTGAGTTTGCTTTGTGTGATTTGATTTTAAACTAATTAAAAAGATGTTTGTTTCCTTCAGGAAGTGTACCAATAATAGTTAAAAAAGGAAAATACAGTTCTTTATTTTTTTAAATAATGGTTTTTATCACATTGTTAATAGAAAGTATGAATAAAATTACTTTCCTTCAATGATCATCAGTAACCTGAAAGATTTAAACTAAAAATGAAGGAGATTGATTGACTAACAGTATGAGTATGAGATAAAAGGTAACAGCTTTTAATTATTTTTTTATTATTATTATTTTTAATTTGGAGTCATTGTGCAAATAAAGGACAATACCTTCATCCGAAAAAAAGTAATGCTGGTAAGCAGGTCCACAGTTGATTTCAGATCCTGGAGTCTTTCAGAATTGCTGGCAGGAAAATTATCCTGGTGAATCAGGACAAGAGGAATAGAGCAAAATTTTAGTTACAGGTAAGATCCTTGAACAACTAGTTAAAAACCCTCTAGAAAAACTAAGATGCTGCTTGGAAGGATTAGAGGTGTTCCCATGTTGCCTGAATTCTGCCTGTGAGGAAGTCAGGGATGAATATCCCTTTGATATGAGTAGGAACACTTTTGATAATGCTCCTGTATTTGTAGTATCAATGATTCAAAATATTGTTATATTTCCAAAACATGAATGGAGGAAAAAAATACTACAGCTTAAAAGATAATCTGTTGTAACACCTGGAAACTGTTGTTAATTTAAATAATTTAAGAGTTCTTCATGGCACATACATCACTTGTGGGCATATATGCAGTAGAAATCTTAATGAAGAAATAATCTATATAATTTTTGCTTTGATCTCTGGGTTAACAGACTGATGGGTAGCAGCGTTGTTTAAATGCCACATGAGCCAAGTAGCCTCATGCTACGATGTTATCTGGATAGCATTCCTCAAAATTAAAAGATATTGCAATAAATATTGCTGCATGAAGGACACGGTCTTAAAAACTGAGTATGTGCAACTTCTCCCTCTAATGCCGTTAAATATTCCATTTCTCCTCCAGGTTTAGAAAGCAGGCCAGATGAACAGAGAAATCCTTGACTTGGAGGCTGTCATTCCCAGAAGCTCAGAGAGCCATAGCTGATGGAACCCTAACTGCTCCTGTGTTGTCCAAAAGTTTCATGGTCGAGTGGAATGGAGAAGGAGAGGGGGTTCAGAGCCATGTGGGAACTGGCAGGTATCCAGTGCATGCTGTCCTGAAGGGCTGGCTTTGGAGCAGAGCTCAGTGGAAAGAGATTCCATGAGGCAAAGAGGAAACTGAAATTCCTATCACATAGAAAAATGCAAAGATGAGCCTCTTTCAACATTACTGGGATCTTAGGGTGGAGGTTGTGGCAAAGATGTCAGTCTCTCAAATAAACACAGCAGGAACTGCACTTTGCAATACCTGAGTCAGTAAAGGTAATTCCCAGATGAATTAACTTAATTATAGACTAGTTATAGACTAACTTAATCAAAGTTGAATCATACTCTGTCCTGAATATCTGCTCATCCCTTGACCCATTCTTACCTTTTGGAAAAAAAATACTAAGATTTTCTTTCTTTTTTTTTTTTTTTTGCTTAAATTTTGTAATTTTTTTTCCCAAAGAATTTGAGTTCTCATGTCAGCTCTAGATAGAATACATTATACATACCCTGTATTTGGATAAATCAATCCTCAGAGAATTGTGCAACTGATCCAGCAGTTTTATGAACTTTTCTCTCTGGGAAAAGAAAACAAGAGTAGATTTTGCAGGTTCCTGTAGCTGGTGGGGTTTCAGAAAGCTGCTTTTCACTTTTAACTTATTTGAAAATCAGTTTGCTTTCCACTGTTTCATATATAAATACTGGTTTGAAATATCTGTGTTTCAAGGCCAGGCAATGCATCCTTTTTCACCTGATTTTCCCTCTGTGTCCCAGATTGAGATTTACTTGGTATGCATTAAATTGCAGCTGTGCAATACATTACTGAGGTAACAGGGATCATCTGATGTTGTATTTCCCTTTCTTATATTTGCCTCACAATTGCTTACACTCTTGAAGAAAGCACTTCCCCCTCCCTTTAATGAGTAAGAAATGATGCTCATTTACAGCAGGATCTGGCATAAAAGTATGACTGAAAATTATACTTCAGAAACAATTACTTTTATAGAAATAAGCTAAGTAATACTAATAACTGTGCCATTACAGTTTTCCCTTTCAAATGTGGAGATTAACTTGTTATCATGATAGATGAAGGTGCAGTGAAAATATTTTGCTGTGAGATATCCAGCTTAGTTGTAAGTAATACTAATGAGAGTTTCTAATTACCACATCAGAACATCTTCCATAGTCTGCTGCACAAAACTGCAGAAATCCTGATCAGCCCATGTGAAAGCAGCAGACTTCTGGAAGTAGCAAGATCTGATACCTCTCAGGATGCACTGATTGTACCCACACCATCCCCCAAATATGATCGGCAGTAATTTGAAAATAGTCTTTGTGCACTGTCTCTCATCAGTGGAGTGCTAACCTACACCAAGAGCCAATAATTTGGCACAGTTCCCTTAAGGGATCAATCAAAAGGGAACTTTTTTGTCATGTTATAAATCTGTACTGAAATATTCAGTCAGCCAAATCATTCCCAGCTGTAGCCTGAGGACTTGAATTTGAGATGTTCTTTTTGATGAATGATGTGCAGCAATTCACTAACAAATGCCTTTTGACCCAAGAGAGAAAAATAATCTAATATTTTGCCTATAAGTCAATTATCTGAAAAAAGAGCTCCAAATCTCTATTAGTGATGCTTACTACTCTCTTTCCACCCATCTGTTGAACTATGAATTGGATTGGAATTGCGTCAAAGTTAAACTGGCATTAACATCAGAGAAAGGACTTAATCTCTGTCCAGTCTGTGGATAAAAGTAGTTCTGATCATTAGAAAAATGGGGGGGAAAAAAAAGGATTAAAAAAATCGAGCAGAAACATTCTAAATTTCAAAAGTTACATCAAACTCAAAGGTCTAATAGGGCTTGAACATTGAAAGAGAAGCCTGGTTTCAACAGCGGTGCAGAGTCATTCCATAAAAACCCATCAATCAGCTTTAAAAGGGAAACCTGAGTAAGAACAAAGAAATATTGTACTGTCATGGTAATCCAATAATTGAATCACAAATGTTCTAATATCGATTTTTCACCATAAAATGTTTTCCTTTGGAGTGAAGGAGCCAGGTTAATATTCCTCTCTCTAAGCAAATCTCTAGCAGCAGGAGACAAGGTTCCAGTTCAAGAACAAGCTGTCTCCAAACTAAAGACCCAGCCCTGGGTAAATTTATATGTGGGCACTTCCACCAGACTGAACATTTAAAAGAAAAATCAACTGATATTAAGAGTAAATATTTCTCTAAAAAGTTACTCTGTGGACTTGAAAAGAATGACTTACTGGAATTCGTAAAAAAAAATTTTGTACTGACTTATGACATCCCTTAAATTTCAAAATATATTGTCAATACTCCTTTAGGAGCATTTAGAACTAACTGTTGGACTATTTATGGCTGTAAGCAGTAGCATCAGATCCTAAGTATATTCAAAATTCAGTAATAATTAATAGAAATCAATCTTTAGTGTGTTTACTACAGAAAGTGAATTTAGGGACATAAGTTCTATCTCAAAAGTACGTGTTCAGGAAATACAAACTACTATTTAGTTTCAGGTATTTGAGGCCCTGTATGATGCAGGAATGCTATACTTAATACACTGTTAAAATCCAAAATTTTTTTTAGCATCCAGAGCAAATATTCTTTGCTAAACTAAAAATTTACATATTTTTCCAGGTAGGAATTGCATTTATTTACTGAGGATAATCTGATAATTATGTTTCTGACTTCTGATGGGAAGACAAAAGCAAAACCAAAACTAAATCTTTCTTGGTTTACTCATTCAAATGCATAATTTCATAATGTTGTCTTGAAAATCCTAAAATTCATAATGTCGCTATTATTCTAATACTGGAGAAGTACCTCTATCACTACTTCAAACAACTGTAATTTGTGTTTAATAAATTCCAATTATGATTAATATCTTATTTCATGTCAATAAGTGGTATTTTATGAAAACCATTAAATCAAAAATAACTTTGATATCAGCCTTAAAAAAAAAAAAAAAAGAAGACGAGAATTCTGTTAAAAAAGAAAGTCTACTTACCCCAAAGTTAGTAGCAGCAAAGCGGTCTGAGGCGGATACATTTGTTGCTGCTGTGGTATGAGCATAGAAAGCATTTATATTGGCCAACAATGTGCTCATAACTGCTGGAACACCAGGGCACATATATTTAGAAGATAGACAGGAAAAGTGCCTGCAATTCAAACAAACCAACAGTTATTAAAGATGGCAAGGAATCTTGGATTCATCTTCTCTCACCACAATTTCTTTTCAGCTCCAACGATGTAACGTTCAAGCTACCTCATGGAAAATTGTGCAGATGCGTGTGAGGAAAATCCAGACATGTTTGATGTAATTGCTGCTTGCTGCACAAAATCAGCTGCTGCTGGTATTTTCAAACTGAACACATCAAATTCACCTTTTGTTCTTACCCTTTTAACCCTAAACAAAAAACCATGATTTAATTATCTCAATTACTACTAAGAAAAATGTTCATTATTAACAAAAACCTAAAACCTAAAAAAATTTATAAACATAAAAAGCCACAGAGATCTACAGCAGAAAAGGATTTCATTGTTGCCAACAAAAAGACTCAGGCATTTTAGTGTGGCTTTTATTTTAGACTACATTATTGATGAAAGCAACTTTGGGTCCACTTTGATTTTATTCAGGCCATAATTGAAACTGTTCCACTTTGATTCAGGCCAGTAAAATTTAGGTAATCGGTCTGTTAAACCCAAAGCAGCCCAAACCAGAGTTGCAATGTAGCAACACTGTTTACTTGTTTAACACAGCAGAATATGCCTGGTTGTAGCACACAATGAGTTTGTAACACAAGAAAACATGAGAGATATAAGATGGATGAAAGATCCAACACGTGAGGAGAGCGAACATCATCACTGAAACCGTAAATTCCTAAATTCAAGATCTATAGTTAGGCTGAACTGAGAGAGAGATAAAGGGATAGAGAGTAAATGTACATAGATAGGAATAAGAATGAGGGGGATTAGGCAGAGAAGATGATGGTGAAAATCAGTGTACAGTCCTACAGAAAAGGATGAAGAAACTCCAGTCACTCTGGAGCTCTCTGTATGACTGAAGGTCCTGACTTGGCCACATGCTCCTCTTAGCTGGAGACTCTGGCTCCTCTCTCCTGTTTCTCCTCAGGAGCATAAGGCAGAGCAGTGTGCTGGGCCTGAACCACCTGGGCACTAGTGCCCTTCCAAGAGAAAAATTAACACAAGGTACCACTGAACTCAGTCCTGCTGGACTCAGGCCAAGGACCCTTTACTGCTGTCACTGCCCATATCGTCTTTCGAGACATCGTTCAAGATTATTTTCATCTTGTATTTGGATTCATGCTCCTAAAACTATAAAAAATGAGCTCTTCATACCTTCTTCCAAGCCTGTACACAACTCACTCTACCTGCATTATTCTTTTTGATACCTGCTCATTTTCTCAGCAGTCCTCTAAATTGCTTCAATCTGCTATTGTGTCTGACCCTGTTAATTATATTCCTGTCTTCTGATATTCCAGGGCTGCAGAAACTTCGGCTGAAGGGACAACAGTATCTTTTGTAGGGTCTCCAATGTCACTGACTTTGTATATTTGCAGATGCCTTTTTCATAACCCTTTGGGTAATCTGCAATTTCCTATCTACCAAACAACTCTTGTTCCATTAGTCTATAGATTTAAAAGGGAAATTAGGGGAATGGAGTGAGTCAGAAGGCAGCATCACGTAAAAGTATTTCTTGCTTCTGCTTTTCCAGTACTCCTGTCTCAGTTCACAGATTTTTACTACAGATGTCCACCTACAGATTCAGAAATGGGCCTAAAAAATGCCCTGGGCTGTCAGTCACTCACACCACTACAAACTAAGCACTCTCCAGCACTTTCATTTAGTTGGCAAAGGAGACATCTCAATTGTAGTTTACTTCAGAAATCTGTGTCAGGTCACAGATGTGTCAAAAAAAAATTCTCAGACTCCCCAAGGGCCGAGGCTCAGGATTCAGGCTTCATTAGTGCACCTGATATCCATTCCATACCTAGATATCAGAAGCATGCACCATAAAATTATTGACCAAACTGCTCTCCTCAAGCACCTTAGTCAAACCTGGGAAAAGATTTGAAATAGAATCAGCTGCTTACAGTAAAGTAAATGTGATGCTGAACACATCCAACCCTCACGACAGTTCCATGATCCCCGTGGTTAACACAGGACCAAAGTTGAAGTGCTCTAGACTGCAAGTGTGTTTTAATTACCAGTGAGTGCTCAAAACATGTGTGTGATCTATAAATGAAAGTATTTTTCTATTTACTTTTCCTAAAAAAAATAAAGCCACAGGAGATGGGTGCCAACTGATCCTGTAATTGAAAGGTAATTGGCAGGAAAACTTCTAAAATGGTAATTTTCTAAAATGGTAATTTTCTAACTCTTCAGCATTTTACTCAAAGATAAATCCAGTTATAATTTAAACTATAATTCCCAAGAAAAAACTCCAAGTAATTAATGATGCATGTACAAATACCTAAAGAAAATCCCATCACATATTCATGTTTTGCTACTTTATAGTATCATCCAAAATCTCTGACACATTAAAGAGAATCTAAGGCTACAGTCCTCATATGTGTGGTCTCTGTATTTGCAGCCTTCCTAGGCCAAGCCAGGGGGCTTTCTCTTGCATTGGACTCTCTTTGAAGTATTTTCAAGCTCGGTTTATATATCACAGTCTTGCATCAATGTAGTGATATATATTGACACTTAAAACTTATATCATGGTAGGGATGTTCAAAATGCTTTGCAAGCATTTCTCAGCCTTCCTATAATGTTGATCTGTAAGTTCTATTATCTCTGTTTTAGAAAACAGAGAAACTGCTCAAAGCTACACAGAAATCAATCACTTGGGCCAGGACCAGAGCTCAGCACTCCCAGCTATGTGCTCATAGGATAATATTACCAAACCTTTCATTCACTGCCAGTATTTTCCAGAAGTACTTTTAAATACCACCATGTGAATCTGACAAAAACACAAAACAGCTCTCTACCCTTTAGGAGAACTTTTCATTATATATCACATGTTTTCTCTCAAGTAGAAGAATAATAATTTCCTTTGTAATAAAATACAATAGTGATGTCAGGTGATTCTCACTACTAAAGATAATCTTCAAAGTTAATGGAAATCTCTCCTGATATATTAATCACATGAATTTTGAGAAATACAAGTACAAATGAGCAGAATTAGATTTTTAAAAAATGACACAAAAATAACTACTATATACTTACAGAGGTGACCTTTAATTTCCAAAAATCTTCTAGTGGACCTAAAGGCCTGTAGTGTAGGAGTAACCCCAATCTGGAGATTAGAAGGCACTACTAACCCCACTGGCCTTAGAGTCATCCCTATAACACATGCTCTGCTGTGTGAGCAGGCAGGCAACAGGGGAGAAGCCTTTGAGATTGTGCCCTTTGTCTTCAGAGAATATGACAGAGCATGGAAAAACGGTTCTAGTCAGCATTTTAAGTTTGGTACGGTGTCTTCTGCAGGTTCTTCCAACCATTTCACACTGAGCTACCCATGACCTGTGCTGAGTTCTTATATTTAAAATAGACCCAGATTGCATAAATTTGTGGTGAGGAAAATTTAAACCTCTTAGTGTAATTTGTTTATGTCCTTATTGTATCACCGCACCATTTCACTGTGTTAGTGAAAATGATGATAAAGTATGAAGCAACAGGCTTTTGTTTCTCTCCTTTGCTTAATTAACATCTCTCAAGTTCACAGAACCTATTAATTGTATCACATGGGTCATGACTGTGAGAGTGCTGGTAACTCAGGTTATCAGCCACCTGCAAGCCACCTGGCTTTCTTCTGCTTGCTAACACATATAAATCAAAGGGAACCCCATTCCTTGTTTTTGTAGGTCTTTGAAAAGAGTAGCAAATAACATGAGTTATTAACAATTTCCAGTGTGCACAAGATGTCACAGCAAACACTGCCAAGTCCCACACATCTTAGAGTAAGATTGCATTGTTTAAGCTAGAGCCAGGTCTAAAACTAGGCCTGCTTGCTCTAACTTTCTTACTGTGCAATTTCTTGACTAACATGCAATGCCTGTGATTCTTCCAGTACTTCTGCCACTGTGAATTGTTGAAGAAAGAAAGCAAATTGATGTGCTGTACTCAGCAAGCAAATTCCATCAATAAAAAATTAGTTTAATGGGCGATTTGTGTGCTTTTTGCGATGCTGCCATGTTAATTGAAGACTAGCAGGAGACCAAGATGACATGGTTAATGTCCATTAACCTGCTGGAATGAGAGCTATGTTGCTGATTGAGGAGCATTAGGTTCTACCTGTGGTGAGTCTTGCCAGTAAGAAGCAAAGATCTTAGAGCTTTTAATGCACTTGACTACATTACACAGTAAATCCAGGTTGCTGATGTTATGTATAATTTCAGTGTCTAGTCAAACACTGTTTCAATACGTGCTCTGATTTTTTGCTTTTTAAAGAGAAATAAATTGCACTGAAAAATAAGAGAAAAAAAGGGTTTTTTTCTCCATGGTGGAGAAGTGGCTTAATATATGTAGGTAAATAAAGTGTCAGCATGATTCCTTCAAGACACTGAATTTACAGCAGAAATTGCCATCAATCACCACAGTCATCAAAATAAAGGCCAGCCAGATCACTGAGCTGTTTTTCTGCTTTTTCCCCTGTTTTCTATGATAACTATTTTCTCTCCTATCGTCTCACACATATATGCTTCTAGTTCTGGGAGTTACACATACTATTCCTGGAGCTAACAGCATATATCTGGCTGCTATTCATTAAAAAAATAAAGCCAAAACCAAAACCAAACCAAACCACAAAAAACCTTTTCTGAGCCATATAAGAATGGTTGTAATTGTCTTTCATTTCTTCTCCTAACACAGACTCCATGATGAGTGGAAGAATATAATAATCATAAAAAAAAGAGTGGATTATGGAATCTGTCTGGTCAAGATTTCAATGAACAGTAATTACTTCAACAAAAGCAGACTTTTTGTTGTCTTTTGGCTTTGGGTCAATGATTGTTTTTCTACTCACATGAATTCCACATCTGGTGACTTATAAGCAGATTTCTTTGCTTAGGAACTGGGCAGCTGTAATCTGTATCTTGAGAGTAAGACACCCTTTCTAAGTGGGCATCTTTACTGAAAAACTGTTTGCATTTATTGTCATAGAAATGTGGATTTGCCTCTATCTCCAGCAATAGGTGCAATCAAGCTTGAATTCACGCTCTCATAAGTTTAATGAGAAAGGTCTCACTGGGGACAATGACTAAGAGCAGACAAGTGGCCACCTATGTGATATCTTTTGGGTTGATATCCACATTCCAGTTTGACTATACTCAACGTATTTGGAAGATCAGGAGTATATTTTTGAAATGTTGTTTCTTTGCTCTAAAGGAATAAATATAAATAAATACTGAGAGCCAGAAACAAATCATCAGGGTTTACTAAGAGGATCACAATGACAAAGCCACTGGCATGAACCAGCAATGACAGACAAGTGGGGTTGTTTATTGCTGCAGTGGAACAGGATGCTAAATTGTTCTAGACAGGGGTACTTTAGGGAAGCTTAATCAGATTTATGTTGTGTTCAGAAATGCAGAATGGCATATGTTCCTATTGCAGCATATGCCATCTACCCATACTTAAAAGGGTCAAGACTGACTATCATTAAGTGGCACTGAAGCTTTATACAACAGCTAATTTTGAAACAAATACCAATACTAAAAATTACATTCAGAAAAAAAGAGCACCTCATTAACAACAGCCTAAAACTCATGTGAGCCTGATAAAGTGCGTGTGGATGCTCTTGGGGGTCTGCATCATGGAGTATTAAAGCATAGTCAGTTTTTCATTTACAAATGTAAACATTTTAATTTGCAATGTTATCCTGAGACATGCAGTAGAAGTACTCTGCAACCAGATCCTCGAGCAAAGAATGCTTACACAATATTCCTTTGGGCAAAGTGATTACATTCAAATTCCCTCTCTGATGTATGGTAGAAAATTGCTTTTGTTTTAGTAGGAGCTCTTCATTACCAAGAATCTGAGGATTCTATTTTCCAAATCGAGTTACCGTACATTTTCTTCCAGCCACTAAAATTGTTCCAGAAGAAAAAGGTGATCTCATAAAAAGAAGTAAAACCAATAGATAATAGTCCAAAAGAAAATTCCTCATGACAGATCTATTTTTTTCACTACTCTTCTCCCCAAGTTTGAATGCTCTGAGACGTCTGCAGGTGAATCAGCAAAATGATCTATATGAATATGTATTCTTCTCCAAGTATTATTTGAGATTACATTTGTTACTGATTTTATTCCTAACTTACACAGGATGAAGCCTTCCCCTCAAATAGGGAGGGCTCATTATTAACAAGGAACATTTAAAAGGACGTGAGTATGGGGGCAGTGAAATCTTAGCTTTTATTTCCTGTGAGTACCAGTATTGAATTAACTTTCTTATTATACCTGCCCTCAAATACTTTGCTTGCAGTCACCAACAGGAAGGAAATTTGGTGGAAAAGGTATAGAAGAAAGCAAGAACAAAAAGAGGACAAGGCAAAGTAGGTCGTTTAACTTAAAATGGCTTGGTTAGAATTTCTGAGAAAGGATTCCTGAAAAAAGTGTTGCAGTACTTGCCCCGCTCCATGTTAGTTGTTCAATTTACTTCCTTTTCATGAATATCTGTATGTTATGTTATTTACTGAGATAAAAGTTAAGCATCTTCTTTATTAAAAGAAAAACATCTTCTTCATATGAAAACATAATTTGTTCATTTCTAACACTGGAAGCGAAAATGGTTTTCAAATACATCAGTTACATTGCTATTTTTGCAATGTTGACTTTTACAACATTTGAATTTCTAAAGCCAGTTTCAAACTTTTTCTGACAAATTTCACATTACTGGTATTACATCAAGAGATGAAGAAAAAAGCAACTTCAAAATAATTTTACAGTTCAGGTTGTCCATCAGAAATATTGCCATGTGGTATTGACATAACCAACTACTGGGCTATAGTTAAGAGGAAACACTAATCAAGATCAGTCCTTTATTTCTTAATGCAAACCAGTAATAACAGCTCTCCCTTGGCATTAATAGCTCTTTTGAATTCATCTTTCAGCAAACCTTGAATTCATTTTGATACACACAGCAGGAACAGCACTATCATTAACATTTTGGTAAAAACAACACACCATTTTAAATCAAGTTCTAAATTTATAATACTTTGCTAGTTAATAAGAGAAATAATCAAGATGTAAAAACATACATGGCTAAAGAGAAGTTAAACATGCAAACAAAAATATTCAGGAAACTCAATGCATGAGTTCCTCCATATATAGTTAAGATATATTATCCCACCCAGGAACTGTCAAGCTTAATAAATTATTCTGTGCAATGTTGTGTGAGGTCCTTGAAGGAAAAGCAATAAAATGTATATATTACAAAGACATCCTCTGCCTTTCTATTAGATGTACAGTACAATAATTCGTAAAAAGCTACATAAAGTGAAAAACACGCTCATTGCAGTAGCAGATGGTGTCATTATATCCTGCAATAAAAAGAAAACTTCATATGTTTTTGTGCCTTCATACTTATTATAAGACTTTTCAGGAGGTAAAGAGATGGAGAAAATGAGAGATGTTCTGATACAAAATTCAATAATATCAGCCTTCTGTAAGAAAAAAATTATCTATTTCTTCTTTAGAGAACTCATTTGGAGTCCTCCTCCTCTCCAGTAGGAGCAGAGTATAGCCTTTTCATCAGAAAACTTTCTACTGGGCAATTGAGAATACATGACGGGGCTCCCATGTCTCCAGGCCTCTAAGCTAAATGGTGCTGTGTTCTAAAGTGTTCAGACAGCTACTCAGAACAGACAGTGTAGCAACAGGTTTCATTACTGTCAAATATAGTTTGCATTTATTATTTACATATACTATGGAAGCTCCCTACAGACCTTGCGGCTGTTCTATGATTATTTCTCCGCTCCTGGAAAAGAGTAGAGAGCTTGTGAATCCCTGTTCTACCACCCCAGTCCCATCTGGAACACTGGAAGTCTTTCTGAGCCCTGCTATATATGAGTATCATAAGGATTAAGAAATGCATTAGCAGTAATACCAGTAACAGCTCACAAAATGCTTATAATATATCTTAATTCCTCTGCAGATGAGAATCACTTCAATGAGAATCAAATGGACAAAAATGATAACAAAATTTTAAATCAGGAATGGAAGAGAGATGGAGAGAGAAAGCCTTGGAACTCATCGCTTCCCTCAGATTCTTGACAGCAGAGCAGAAAAGCAGACGTGCTAACACTTACGTCATAGCCTGATAAATGTATTCGATTCCATAGCGCATTGCAAATTCATCCACGATTTCCTGGGCAGCATCATCAAAGTACACCTTCCAGGCCTCATCGCCTTTCACCTCAGGGATTTTCACCACTCCGTTAGATTTAACTTCCGTCAAGTAATGGAACAGATTCTAAAGGTAAGAAACGTTTCAAATAGGGAATTTTGGCTTTTCAGTACAATCTGAAAGTACATCCTATACATAGTTATATGTATCCAATACATATGTATCCTATACATATCAATATGTTAATTGCCAGTTCTTTTTTTTTTATTGTTTATTTTTCTGAAAACTGGCACAAACTACTCAGCAGGCTTGTGATTCAGAGCATTGCTCTGTCTGCTTGATATGAAGTCCTGACAGTTAACTGGCACAGATAGACTGCAACATGAAATAGTGCAGAAACTTATCTATTAATTGCCCTTGTTAATGAATCCACATTGTGATGTTGGAACACTTAGTACACAGTGTTTCAACTTTATTTGGCTCTATGACCAATAAATTTCAAATTCATTATTTGAGACCTGTGAGTTACAGGAAGATAACAGAAGTATGGCAGATGCCTCTCAAGTAGTGCAAGGGGTGCAATTAAATAAGTTTAGTAACCTTGGGAGTAAAGCTAACCGAGCAGCCAATTTTATTTCCTATTTTCAGTGATTAAAAAACCCTAAAACTTTGAAATACTTTCAGTTTTTCTAGTTAGCCCATAACTGACTCTTAAAGGATTATCTTAAAGCAATAGCAGGTCAAAATCTATCAGCACAAATGCCCTGAATATCCAGTTTTACAAACGGTGAACAAGGAGATCTTGTGCATACACACTAGTGTTGAACTTTCATCCATATACAGGCTATCAGCTTTCACAAACTGACTGCATTTTCAGAACAGAATTTCTATGTGTGTCTCTATTTAAGGGAAGAGGAACCAATTACAAGGGGAATCTTTCAGAAGACGCACTGGTTTGTCAGTGATGATTTTTTTCCAATGTTGACAAAAGCAATCTAGATGACAGGAAAATTAAATTTGATATTGTCTGCAGTTCTCTTGCCTTTTCTCACTCTCTCCAAGATACAAATTAATGTAGAAGGAAATAAATCCTTCAGAGTTAATAGCTCTATTTATGTAATATACCAAAGTGTTTGTATATTCCTGACATCAGCAAGCATGTACGGAGCACCAAAGTGCTAAATCAAAACACAGTACAGGGAGAGCTTATCTGGCTCACTCTTATATTTCTAACACCTACTGGCAGGAATGATCTGTTGGTCTTACATTGTTCTGACTTTGCTTCTGAACCTGATATGCCATCAGCAATACAGAATGGGGAATCTAAAATAAACTTGTCCTGAGGTATGGCAGCAGTTATTTGTTACAGTGTTCTAATGTTCTGTAGCTTTTCTTCCTTATCCTTGCAACAACACAATAATCATTTCTGGAGAGTATGCTTTAACTTCTCCTACATACCTCATGTAGACAGGTGTACTGCACATGATAGGGAGCAACTTTCTCCTCTCCTTCTATTTCAACATTGATTTTCAGTCTAATGGCACCAGAAACAGCTGATTTATCTGTTCGCTTTTCTGAGGAGCAGACAAACAATACATCAATTAACTACCAAGAACACCTGTATGTCACGTGAAAAGCTCTCATAAATCATTCTACTTAATGAGAATGTTTTTTTAGAGCCAGGAAGTCCTCCTGTTGAAAAACAAGAATTTTTTAGTACGTCACACATGGTTCAACCCATGAAATAGAATATTGAATTACGAAATAATGAATCTTTCTTATTTTATCTGCCATATTCAAATCAGGCTGCACTGCAATTTGTTTATCACTCTACCCTTTCCAATAGAAATTATTTTATTTTTTTATTATCTGTACTAATTATTATTTTCCTTTATTTATGAAGACTTTAGCATGAACCTAGATTACTCTGTACCTGGGGGACACCAGGTGCCCACCAAAGCCACTGTATCACTTCCCCTGCTCAGCTGGACAGAGGAGAAAAAGTAGCATGAAAGCCTCCTGGGTCAAGAGGACAGGGAGAGATCACTCAGAGCACAGAGATTTTTTTATGTTATTATTAAACTGCTTCCAGTCATATCATTTCAGCATGCTTTTTTTAAAAAGCTCATTTCATGATAACTTATATCAGTTTAAATCACTGAAATTGTTGAAGAAATAAAATTCAGAATTCATAATGAGCCCAAATATCTTACCTTTGAAAAATAACTCATTATAAATAGGAAAAAACCCAAGAGTTTATATTCATTGTCAATAAGAGATCAAATAGTTCTCTGAAATATCTATATATGTCACTGGGAAATTAAACACTAGAGCTGTTGATTAGGAAACAAATTTCAGAAAACTATGTCAGATATTTCACCTGAAGTTTTTAGAGAGCAGGCTAACCTAAATAAAATAAAAATTATGATACCATATCTTTATGATTGAATATAGGAGATTAACTTTTAAAATGCTTTTATCCTTCAATTTAGATGGAGAAAACATGTTCTGAGACACTATTGCAATTATTTATTTCTGGTTTAAAGAATGATACTTTTATAGACCTGTCCAGACAAGAAAGTGCAGTCACTGAGGACAACAGAAAACAGTGAAAACCAGAGATGATTAAACCCACAATAGTAATAAATAATTTTTTAAAATATGTGATAAAATGAATGTGAAGAACATGAAAATATTTATAGATGTATTTCCCAAACAATGCTCCTGTTATTGGACCGCTCTAAGATGTTTGATTCTCTTACACAGTTTTAACTGTGCATTAAATGAAATATTTTTCTTTGATATCATTGGGATTAGCCTGTTCTCTGTAATTGTCAGAAACCAAAAATGGATCAAATCAACTTGCAATATTTAAGATCTTAAAAGTTGTATATTGGTACTAAAGCTATATTTTTTTAAAGTCACAGAACTACAGATGCTGAGATTCTACCTAAATTTGTTTTAAGAAATCAGTAAAAATCATACCTAAATTATACCATACATCCATTTCTCCACTCAGTGTTCTTACTTCAATGATTGTTTGCCCCAGGAAGTCATCTGATTCTTTTTTGAAATGTTGCTTTACTCTAGATTTGATGTCATCATCTTCATCCCATACTCTCACCTTTATTCTATCTGTAGAGTTATGGCATTCACTGGAAAGACAAAAATAAAATACAAAATGTGAGTGATAGACAAGTTATATATCTCTGTGCTGCTGTCTAATTAATTGACCTCGATTTTCATACACTTGTTTAATTGCATAAAGTGTCAGAACACAAACAGCCTGCAACATCCAGTGGAATTAAAGGCCATCCCACATTGCCAGGGACAAAACTAGAATTGCTTTATATATGAGAAAGTAAAGAGATTAACTTGATTGAATGATATATGCATACGGATTGTATTTAGGAATGTCAAGAACTCCTCATTAAAATTATTAATTAATTTAAAATGTGTACTACTTGATGCTATTATTTAACAAGTATCTTAGGAAAGATACAGTCAGGTCAGGTTTATTTGTTTAGGACTGCTATGTAGTACATACAGCAAACTACAAAAGTAGTAGTCTAGAATAATACAAAAAGTGGGAAAAAAATTAAAGAATATTTTCACTTTGTGTCAGGAAGCTACCCAAAATCATCACTGCACGACAAGAAGGCCAACAGAAAAACCTAGGGAAATAAGTAGCTTCTTTCTTTAAAAGATATAGTAATTTTCTCCAAGACCTCCATTCCCTGGCAAGGAGGAGTAGAGACAGACTGCCATGTACTAAAAGATTTATTGCAAATTTAAATTGCTTACTAACCCCTCATGGGTTGAGTGGATTTGAGAAACTACTGGAAGTGTGAGGGAATGAGGTGGCTTCACTTGCAATCACTTGCAAGAGTTCCCAGTGGATAAAAATTTTTTCTCCCAGTTACACCCTGCAAGTATTTGCACAGAAATGGAAAAGAAACTCTATTGCTGCATATTTCTGTAAGCCCCAATGAGGACTGTTTACTATTCATCAGTGCTGGCTTTTGATGCCTTGACTGGAATATCCTAACACTGACTGCAGGAGTCCGTGGTAGTGAGAAATTTTCTGCTGACATTTGATGACCAGTACAGATATCAGTTCTAAGGCATGTCAGACTCGTGCTCCCACACTAGCTGTGTTTTTTTAATATCCACTCAAGAATGCTACAAAAATATTTTAAACATTACAAATCTTTAAATATAATTTTAAAGTGTAGCAGCAAATTTTCATCTTCAGCAGGGTCGTAGTTTGACGCTAGACTAAGAGTTTTTCCTTGAATTCTATTTCAAGCACTATCACTGCTCAGTGATCTGTTTCAGTGTCTCCAGCATTAAAACAGTAATACTCTAACTTATCTTCCAACTGGCACCCTCAGGGGTATTCTAAGAATTAATTAGTGGTGGTAATGGGCTTTGGAAGAATAAAGCGCTGTAAATGGTATTACTATGTCAAGGCCAATCAGACACTAAAAATGGCATGCAGAGCCTTTACTCTGCTGCACTGTGACATCATTCAGTATCAGAAATGCTTGTGTCTGCCTGTGTTCCAGATTTTAACTTAGCAGATATTTCTGGTAATTAAAACACACATTGTTCTGTGATTGGCAAAACTAATAAAGCCTAGTTTCCTTTTGTCTTATAACTGGCTTCCCTGACATCTAAAACTGCAACCACCTACTGAATCTTCCCCCATGGCTGGGATTTTCATAAATTGCCCCTCCATGTGAACTCCCTGGTGTCTGTTATGGGGTGAGCTCATACTGAGGACACTGTCAGGATCTCTCTCTCATCTCTCTCTGACCACCGATTTTCATAGAACATGACAGGCAATCCGTGAAATTTCTCTGACTGATCACAAAATTCAAAAGCTATTGGCAAGGACATATAAAATATAGGAAGATACAGATGGATCAAATAAACATCTTCCCCTTAAGAAATGAGGCTAAATCCAGAAACTATTTAATTTTCCTGAAACGTAGCTCTGAGTTATGGCTTAACATTGCTGGAGTTCTGAATTGCATTTAGCTGTGCACCCAACAGAAATATTAAGCAGGGGATTTCGACAGTGGCATAGGGAGATCCATCACTTGTGAGGTATTTATGTGACGCTCATCACCATATCTGTGCTTTTAGTAGAAATCTTATTCCTGCTTTGCTTCTCAAGGAGATGATGCATATAAAAGGTCATTAAATGGTACTTCAGCACAAACACCATATTTTTATTCCCCTGAGACAGCAATGATTTCCCTCTGATGTATACTTAGCTGATTAAGGAATATTTATTCAGCTGGTCAGGATGACTGCACTTTTCCCTGATATCCTCAGTTATCTCTTCCAGATCCTTTTCTCCTTTAATCTTAGGTCAGTGAGACATGGTGAGACCCATCACAACCAATGTATCAACTCACATGTTCATCTTTGTGCCGAAACTTTAGCACTGAGTCAGCTCTGCTAGGTTTGTAATGCTCCTCTGCAAGACCACCAAAAATAGCATGGATTTGTGTTGCAAGAACTGAAGAGTGGATGAGTAAATATTTCTACTGGCCTGTCCTGGGGCAATGTGACTGCAGGGAGATTTACCATTAAAGTCACAGAGCTGTCTCTGCATGATTCTACCTACCCGCCCAGACTCTTAGAAATAGAACAATTTAATGACATGCACATTCTGCCTTAGTCACTGGTAACATCTGTGCAGAAGCCCTGGGTGGGATTCCTACTTCTACTTACTCTGTCCAGGAAAATCAGCCCAAGGAATTAAAGGCTAAGACAACAAATGCTATTCTTGATGTTCGTGTTCTAGCCACTCTGCTTTATATTCTCAGTGAAAGTGTTCACGAAGTGTGATACAAGAAGGTGAGAAGTGAACTGTTCTTTGGCACACACAGAATGAAGATACTGAAAGCTGGAAAGGCTGCAGTATATTTAGAGATGCAAGATAGAAGAGACAGTGTTAATAATTTACCAGCGATCTGGTGACACATTACTTCTGCATTGCCAGAATGCCACATAGACATGAAACAATCCTCACAGAACTTCTGATTATTCAAATGGCTAGAGTAATACAATTGTAGTAGTAAATTATTTTTACAATAGTATCCCAATGGAAATTTAATATTAGATGCACCAGCATGACCTGACCTGACTCCTCTAAAAGATCTTCACCCAGTGTTAAAATGACAACTAAGTGATACTATGCTACTTTCAGTAAGTTCAGGAAGCCATTCATTGCTATTATTGCCCTCATATTTATCATTTTTGCCATTACTGCAAGCCAGAACCAGATTCATAGCATTGCTACGAGAAGTCTGTCCACTCTGTTCTTATGTGTTTAGAGACCCAAAGTCTCTCAAGAAATCTATTCCAGTACTTCATTAGCCCCACTATTGGCAAACTTTTTCTGAAGTCTGATTTAAACCTCTCTAAATGGAATTTGTGCCTACTACTCATTGTTCTACTATAACAGGAAGCATGGGAAATAGATTATTCCTTTCCACTTTGCAGGAGAAAGGATGTGTTTAAAGACATCCTTACCTCCACTACTTGTTTCTTCTCTAGTCTGGACAGTCCCAACTCTTTAGCAGTGTGGTCACGGGCCATGCTTTCTGATAAAGTAGAACGAGACTAATTTTGCCTTTTCTTGCATTAGTTTATTCTGTCATAACAAAAAGAGAGTTGTATAAAATTAATCTGGATTGACAGCAGTTTGAAAAAAAGACTCAGACCAAACATGCTGTACCGTGAAACTGAAAAACATTATTGCTGAACAACCAATTTGTCATTTGAATTGTTCCTAGAAGTGTTCTTCTCTCTTGATTTGGGCTGAGACTGTGAGATACAGTTATTTTAATTAATTGGTCTCTCAGAAACTTGGCTGCTTATTGAAGAATTCCTAGAATGGATAAGTCTAGTAAACTAACAGGCAGGTTTTATTACTCAATTGGTTTTATGTAATATAATTCTCTGTTATATACTTCTGCTTATGAGACAATCCTTAAGCTATTTCAAAAACTCTCACAAAACTGTGTTTAGGTATCACTGGAAACTGGAACACCATTTAAACAGGTAACCAATCACATTATCTTCACTTACAGTGAAGATCACCCTTTTTACAAGTCAGTTCAGCTGATCAAGAATGTATAAAATTACTTTTTATAGAAAGTGACTTTTGTGATGTCCTCTTGTATTTATTTCCTATACATGGCTGCTTATACTAAATATTACTTTAAATGCATCAATTAATAACATATTTCAGAATAAATAAAATGTGTGTAATTCTAAAGAAAGAACATCCACAGCTGGATACCTGAAGTGAGTTTGCTCAAATGTTTTCATGCACTGAAGTTAGCAGTATATACATCCAATTAAACTATTTATCAGAGCACATATGTGGGCCTAATGACAGCCAAAACAGAAAGAATAAATGATATAAGATAATAATCCAGTTACTTGAAAGACTTCTGTATTGTACCCTTGTATCTGAGATGTTAATGAATGATCAGAGAAAATGTGGCACCTGCAAAGTCAGCAAGGCACTTAGAGATGTGTCCTTGCCAGACAACAGTGTCAGAGAAACCAGATTCCTATATTTCAGCAACCAGCTGTTGAAAAATGGTCAAGAAAAGAATGAGTAGAGTCTTATTATAATGTATAAATCCAAAAATTTCTACAAACATTTCTACAGCCCAAATATATCTTCCTGTAACTAAAACTGAAAATGCAGTCCTTTTTCCCATATCAGATGCCACACTCAACAAGAAAGAGAAGGTCATAGAAAGCTTCTGGACTCCTCCTTTGCTCTGGCATTGAAAAAAACTCTCCTGTCACTGATGTTTTGTTGAAAAAATAAAAACTGCTCTGTTATCTCATTTCTAACGGTGCCAGTGGAAAGGATCAAAGCCTGTAGCACCTGTGTTACATTCATTACATGAGAATCTGCTGGTCTATTTACTTTTCTACCTTGTGCACCAAAAATCTCTAGTTCTGGTTTAGGAGTTCTCATGTTAAACTCTCTGCAATATCCTATTTAGCAAAGGGTCACATTGTATTTTGTGAGAAACATTCACTCTCTGCTTACCATAAAACCATGACAGGTTATGTGTGACTCTAAGAACTAGAACACTGCCCTCACTTTATCTGTTATGACAGAGCAAATGCACAGTGGGGAGCCAATGTTTTTTCCATGTCCTTGTTTTGGAACAGATGGGGAGATTTAAATGCATATTTTGGTGTTGTAAGTAAATATAAGATTGTAAGATTTCAAGACACATTTTATTTCTGCAATTTTATCATTTAGGAGTTATGATGATGATTAATGTTACATTTTAAATAGGACTGTCAAATATCACTAGTAGAGCCTAATTTAAATAATACTTCCCGAGTCAATGAAACAGTTATATTGATCTACTTTAGATTTAATCTTGGGGTTAAACATTTATAGTTTATTTAATACACTTTAGAAATTCTCATATACTTTCAATTGAAATCCAATGCATTAAATAAGTCAGGAAGATTATTTTTGAAAGCACAAGTGCTAAGAAAATGATTGAAAATGTATTCAGTTCAAAGCAGTTACTCTGGAGGTTCATGCTGTAGTAAGGTCTGAAGGGTTTTTATAAATGTTATTGCTTGAGTAGCAGAACATAGTAATACTCAGTGATTGCAAAAAAAAAACGATTTTTTCACGTTTCCAGGGTTTTCATTGCAGCCCTGTTCACATCTTTGAGAAAACACATTTAAGACTTCCTACCAAATTTACTGAATTGCTCATCTAACTTTAGACACTATGCAACTCATACAATTAACTGCAAGAAAGTAATTATCTGCTACATTTGGTCACTCACACTCATTGAGTGAGGTATGGCACCTCAACTATCACTGGAGTAGCTCAAATAACTCGAAAAGAAAACACTGTCTGTCTAGGGGAAGCCTGTAAAAAGTTTCTAGGTGAGTGTTTGCTCTGAATTAACTATTTATTTCTAATACAAGTGTTTGAATCTGTGAAAGGCATGGGCATACATAGTTTAATATAGCTGGATCCCCCAGTACATTTTCCAGACAAATAGAAATGGCACATTGGAGCAAACCTCTTTCCAAGTCACTACTGAAACAATAACCTGCTCAACAAGAAGGTAGCAGATTGTATTAAAATCCAGGGAAGTGCTGCATGAACATATTAAACTTTTATAATGTAATACCAAAAGTTTGGGCTATTAAAATGTGTCAACAGTTTGTGTATACTCTCAGTATGAATTCAAATAAAATTATTCTATTTAACAAACATTTAAATTATAGATTCCTTATTATTATAATTTCTTATTTTCAGAATTTACTATGCTGGTGATTTCACACAGTTTTCATAAAACACCTCCTAAACTTCACTTGATAATACTAAGTGCATGCTTTCAGAGTAGACTAGAACTTTCCAGAACAATTTAAAAAGTCTGACTAAATAAATGTTTCTTTTGCACTTGAAAATATCAAAAGGAAATCTAGGGGGTTAATTAGCTTTTCAGAATCCTTGACTTAGTTTAATAATAGTAGTTAAGTGCACATCATATGCTGTAGTACAGAATAATCAAGTTAAGAAGAGAATAAATACTCAAATACTTTTTTAATATGTAGAGGAATAGTACAGTAAATTGATACTACTGTCAAATCAGTCAAATTCTCAGTCAGGAATGTGTTGCATCCTCGGGCAATATTTTCAGGAAAGGAACAGAAAAGTACCTGGGAATTAGACTTTCCTGTACTATAAAATGCCTTTCTAGGGAAAAAAATTCTATAGACTTCAGCAGACCTGGCATGAGATCATATTCAAACCTTAGACAATGTATTACAAACTGAACACTTTTGCAGTCAGGGCTGAACTTCTGTGATGTTCTGACCCCAAACTACACCCTATTCATTCAGAGGCCATGGCCAAAGAAAGGAGGCAGGAGAATCATAACCTACTCTCCACATGTCTCTAAAAATATAAACACTACAAACAGCCCATCCCAGAGCCTGAAGCACATCAGTTTCTGTCAAATTCCCCAGTTTCATCCAGGAGAATCACCATGCCAAATAAAAATGCATTTACCTTGCATGACACATGGGAAGGCATTTATAGTGTCAGTACTTGGTATGTAAGGTTGGAGTCTGAAAACTTACTGAAGTCCCCTAAAAAAATTAGAATAAACAGACACCACCAATAGATCCCCCAAGCGGAATGAATTATGAGCTGGATGATTACTATAAGATAAAGTCACAAAAAGCTTTGATGCTCTCTCCATTCAGAACTTGCTCATGTATTAATGCTATGAATATGCATAGTACAGACACAAAATATTTTCAAATTAAGTGATTGTTTCTCTTGGTAGCATTATATTACCTACAAGTAAATTAAAAAAGCAAGAAATAACAGTATTTTCTATACTTACAAATAGAATTTTTCATCCCATACGGGATTCAAGTTTCCAAATATGGTTTTTGTTCTCCGCTTGTTTTTGCCAACTTGCACAGTAACATACGGGTCACTGGAGCCAGTTTTGTCCTTAGCCTGCAAGCCCTGAGCACAAAGAACTGCAACAAAAGGAGAGAAATGTGCTTTAGCCCTCAGAACCTTCATTACCAAGAGGTAAATGACAGTGACAACAGTAACAGGAAAAAAATCATCCCAGTGAGGGCTCCTGAAACAAAGATTTCTGGATTATTTTCCCAGTGTGTGTAACTCTGGAGCCTGACAAGGCTTGTCTAACTACCCTTTTGGACTGTATAAAATTTTAAAATACATTTTAATAGAGTAATAAATGCAAAAATGCACTACCAAGCACAAAACAAACACTTTTGATGCATAATTCAAACCATCTTCTGAAGCTGGGATTTAATCAGCATGGCAAATAAGAGAATGTTGCTGTTTACCTTGGCTCGAGTTTAACAATTCCCTAAAATTCCCCTCCCCATCCCCCCAAAATAAATAAGATTTCCAAAATTTCTCCGAAGTTCCAAAGTAACATTTACAAAGTAAAACTTCCAATATAAAAAAATCTGTGCTGTGGATTATGAAACAAAACATGAGGGGCACGGCTCTGATTTGTGGTTTGTTCTCCTCGTGAGAGATGAACCATGATGGGTTTCAGAATACTTTCTATGCTATTACAGAGAGGGTGACAGTTCAGATCAATTATCATTAGCTGTTTATGTATTTGCTAGCCTTTCTGACAGTTATTGTGGGTGTATAGTTAATGGCTGTGAATTAAATGAAAAATATAAATCCACATAATTTGACCATAATTCATAAAACTGGAAACCTCAGGAGAAAGCAGAACTGTCAAAGAGCAACCTACCAAACCCAGAGAACTGCAGCTAAAACACTTACTCTGGCTCCTACCATCAGCTGAGCTTGGTTTTGTTATTCTGCACATATTATTTAAAGCATCTCAGTGGTAACATTTAGTTAACATTCTCTAATGTCATTCATTTTGGATAATGAAGCTCCCTCGGTGTGCTTAGAAAAATGATTACATAAAAATGACACCTTCTTGCTCAGCAGATCAGCTCCTGAGTGGGTTCAGTCATATGTGCTGACTTCAGTGAAAAAAGTGAGATTCTGTTACTCTTTTATGCATCCAATTTCTGAAAAGACTAACTCTTTGGAATGAAATAGCATATTTTGTCTTCCCCATTCACTCTAAATCCATAGGGAAATTTTTAGAAGGCAAGGAAGTATCCTTCTGTGATTTATGCAGGTGAATTAAGTGACAGCCTAGAAAATGTCTTCCAAGGTTGTTAAACCGTATGTATTATACTGGCCTGAAAACAAGACAGCCCTCAGTATCCTTTGAGGTACAACTAAAAGTAAACATATGAATTAAATCTGTCCCTAGTGCTTGGTGACAGTCCCAAAATTCAGCAATTATTCTTTTGAGTTTCGTGCACCATCCCAAAACCTTCAGCAGAAAATATGCTCCTTTTTTTAGGTTTTAATTCAAAAGGTGAGGTTTTAATTCAAAAACTTGAATGTCAAAGTCAGAAGACCTGGAAATCATCATGAGTAACCAGGTTAATGTGATTGGAAGCCTTTTGGAGCACGTCCTGGGTGTGCAGCATCAGCATCACTAAACTGGAACACACCTTTAGTTAAACAACATGAATGAGTGATGAGTTTCAAACCAGTGGGGTCTGGAACTGCAAGCTCAAGTGTTTTTAGTCACTCAAAACCTTTTTGTGGGACCTTTGACTCTTGCAGTTGCTGGCAAAAAGCTCATCATTAGCACAGGAGATACTGGCAGGAGGTAGAGGAGATGCAACAAGACCATTTACTCGCCTTCCTTCCTAGAGCAGAAGAATATAAAGCAGTTTTGCCAACAGCTGTAAAGCTCTTGCAGTTTGCATGCTATAAATTCAACTGTTTGCTGATGCACCAAGTGTGCAATTGAACACACAGTTCCAGCTCTACTTATAATAACTCTTATTCCTGAACCATGAGATGACTAAAAGAAAGAAAAACATTTACCTGTGATGGTTACTTTTGCTGACCATTTGGATGTTCCATCTAAAACACTTTGTTTTGCTGCTTTTGTATGTTGTACAAAATCTTCTTTGGAAATGTTAAACATTTCCTGGATCACTTCAAACACCTCTGGTCTATTTTTCTCTCTAATCTTCATTCTTTCCTTCATAGCACTAATAATATTCTGTGTTTTGTCTTCTGCACCATGTTTGGAACTTTTCTCAGCTGCTCCTGAAATGACAGAAAAGGTCACTATTGTTATTAAAAAGTTAATTTAGTTCTTTTTTGCCTCTAGAGTCTCCAGTCAACTCTTGGTACTGAAGTACTGAAATGAGAGCTTTGTTTCATCTGAATAATACCAAGACTCTTGTATTTATTCTTTGTGATACCTAAAATTATCAACTGATTTAGTTAAACATGACGGGTTAATATTCAGCTTCCATCCGGTGTGTGTTATACCTGGAAACATTTATTGAATCAGTATTGTGAAAACATCTGAACACATGAACTGAGCAGTAGGCACTAAATTGTGGGCTCAAAACTCCATCATTTAAACACCACTACTGTGCTTCTGTGGTATTAAACTTTAAGGCTTTTTGTAAAGTTCTTCTTGAGGGATCAGTCATGAAAATAATATATCACACATACAGAAGAGAGGATCCTCTCTCCAGTACAATGGTCATTACCGATAATTTCAGTCAGTGGATGAGAATGGTAGAAGAGATCATAGGATTAATATGTGAGAATAAATATAATATATAATGGCCAGTCTTCGTGAGCGAAGATCCGGGGAAGGTCTTTACACCTTCCAGCCTGCACATTGGATTTTTTAGGTGAGACACAGTGTGCGTGGAACTGAGTCCACCCTTTAATCCTAAGGTTCATCTGCCGGGGCCAAGCGAGCTTGGACGTTGCCTTTAAGGGCTAACGAACTCCATCTGCCCGGGAGTGGCCCTGACCAGGAATCGAACCTGGGCCTCGGTGGTGACAGCGCCGCACCCTTAACCACTAGACCACCAGGGGCTCCCTATATGTGAGAATACTCCTAGACTATATTACCCTGTGGCAATATGTCAGGCCTATCCTATAAAAAAAGTCTGGAAAACAAAGAAAACACTCAGGTAATTTTTCTGGAACATCAAAACCACTACAGATTTTATTGGTTTAGTTAAAAAAAAAAAAAAAGGATTATAAGGATACCAAATTGTTGCAGATTTTATTCACAGTTCTTTTTAGAAGTGTTCTGCAGAGATTTCTCTCTCAAACAATTGTAAATGATCTCAGAGGCCCTTTTAAAAAAAAGTGAAGTTCACTTTATAAAGTGTCCTTTGTCTGCCAGAGGAAAGAGTTTCTGATCAATATCTCAACAATACCTAAATGTACTATTGAAAAAACCCCAAATATCGATCTTGCAGTTGGGTGTGAGGAAAGAAACATCAGACTTCTACAATCAGAAGAGCATCACAAACGTGGCAAGTAAAAATTTAAATTCCTGCAGCGCTAAACAGGCTATTTCAGCTCTTGATGAGTCTAACATATAAAGCAAGATGAATACTACAAATTTGATAATCAATGACACACTGCCATTTGCTATAGGCATTGCTGAGTTCTGGCTCATGTTGTTAAACACTGCACAAAGGCTTGTGGCACTGAGTGTCACAATCATCATCATCATTATCATTAGCAGCCCTAAGTACTTCACTCTTCCAAAAGCCTGTGGAAACATCATCCAACTAGCCATCCTCAGCTCCTGGGAGGATCAAAGTATTATTGTTCCCTTAAAAAGGGCAGTAAAATCAAGACAAAATTATGCTGAACAATTTGCTGTGAAATTAGAATACAGATATTTCAATAGTGAAGAAGAACAGAGTTCTGTCTTTACAATATCATCGAACACCAATCTGTCCTTTGGAAAGAGTTTTTTTGCTGAGGTACTCTCAGATTGCAATGGCTAAAGAAAAAAAATATCAACACATCCATAGAACTAGAAAGGGTCATCTTTTAGCATAAAATTTTAGTGGAGTCTTACTAAACTAATATTTCATGTTTTCCTTTTGCTCACTTTTCAATGTGCCTGAAGGTTTCTTGGCACATTGGAGCAAAAGAGATATCTATATATAGAGAGAGATAGTAAAGTGGGAAGGCATAATGTCATAAGATGGGAAAAGTGTGGGACGAGGTAACAGATACCAGTGATCCCAGATTGTCAAAGGGCTGAATTATACAGCTTCTTCAAGGTGTTTTTCATGGCAGTAAATCTTGAAAAATCTTGAAAATCTCTAAATCAGAGTACCTATTTTTTTTTAATGAGGAAGACCAAAGTTCTAGTGATTAAAGATTTTCCAGAGTGAAAAATCAGGAATTAGTAGAAATAGAATTAAATACTGCTATGAAATTAAATATCAGATAAAGAATTCTCTAGTGATTTTATCAGGAAAGAGATGATGGCTGATCTGCCTGGAAGTGTGACAGGTCATTCTTGGAAGATGCAGGAAGGAATATTTTTCATTTTCTCTTATTTTCTACCCTTCCTTAAAGAGTACAAATGCAACATCATAACTGAATGATAAATCATGGACACAATATGAATGGCAACAACATATTCCTGTTAAAACCCTTGCTGATGAATTTGTACAGATAAAATTGAAATATGTGTTAAATGCAACTTCCTTTAATGAAATAGCCTTCTACTTATATAAAATTATTTATTGCCACTATTTTTACATCCTCAATTGCTGACAGTCTATCAACAACTCTTCTCATGCAGTATTGATCAAATTAATTGAGACAATATTGTTAACTTACATTGCACACGAAGTTAACAAGCCCCTTTTACCCCAGGGACTGATACAAACTCAACATGATTGAAATCAATTCTAACTTAATACTGCACCTGGTACTAGAAAGGGATATCTTGTTGAAGATGAGTGGTCTAATGAAAGTACTACTGATTTTTTTTTAAACCTAATTTAGAACAAGGTTAGATATTGACCTTAAAGAGCTTGAGATGTGAATCCATTTCTAGAGTCTACATTAGTAATCATTGCATATAAAAAAAATCACGGAGGCTTGGAGGTCAATACACCCTAGTGATTATGGGATGGCCCAAAGACTGACTGTGATAAAAATAACTACATTTCACTTTATGACACTGTTAACATCAGCTTTCTCAGCAACAGAGATTTAACCAATTGGTCAATTCATTTTTTCAATGTAAAACGAAGTACATGAACCTCACTTTTGAAGAAGTATAATATTCAAATCCACTGAACAATTAATCTGTTGCAAAAAAATATGACAGGATGCTCAAAAATATTTGCATGCTAATGAGAAGAGCAGGATCCCTTAGGTGTGTTAAATATTTTATCTGCAATTTGCCTTCTAGAGGTTTGTTCTTTCAAGACTTTGTGGTTCAGTGTTTTCAAACTGTTTACACCACAGATGACTTCCACTCCTATTTCTTTTTTTGCAGGTTTTCTCTAAGACTTTTAATTTATATATCTGTAAAAACTCTTCAAAGACAGCATGGTGCTCTGAAACATTTTTCGTGGATTTTTGGGTTAGTGATGTGGGCCAAGGAACCTCTGGGCTGAATTTTTCTTCAGCTAAGTGAAAAGGAAGATAAAAAGGATACTTTTACTCTGTATGCCTTTTGTAGCTTTTCAATTTTAGCCAGGATTAAACTATTTCAGGGATGGATACATCTCTCATGCCACCTGAGTGATTGTGGCACCCTGAAAACCAGTTCAGCTCTTAGAATGTTAGCAGAGGATTATTGCCTTGACAGTTGGAAGGGTGAAACAGGAAGAGGCATGGCCAGCATGTAAATATGTGAAGGTGTATCACCCCACTGGGAAAGGATTACTTATTCTGAGGTGTAATAACAGCTCAGCTCCTTATTGATATTACACTCAGGTCTAATGACAAGAGATTTCATCACTTTTAAGAAGCCTCACAAAGAACAACCTCTTTAACCATACTCTATTATGAGAAATCATAATACTACACACAGACTGTGAGTAACTTGTAACCCTGAAATTGTCAGGGACATGATCTTGGATCTTGCTTTTCTCTCTTTCCTTTTATTACTGAGCAGAAATAGCTGTAGTAACATTTCCAGTTTGAACTGTGACTCTCTCAAACAGCAAAAAGACATTAAAATTCTCTACTTTATATATGCTAGCTCTTACAGACACCTCAGGAAGCTTTCATTTTCCACTCCAAACTTCTGCAAGAATGAAAAGACACAGACTTAACTACTGTTTTCTTTGATAAAAATGAATCAAAATCCTAGAGGTCAGATCTAAATAGCTTTTCAAGCAGGAGTGACTGGATGTAAGAATACACTGTTGATCTGTATTGTGCTGTACTCGTAGAATGCACTACAGGACAGAGCATCCATGAGACAGGAATAGATGTTCTTGCCAAATGAAACTTCCAATTAAAAAAATCTCCCAAGTCCCTGCAATGTAATTCAAAAGGGGACTGAATGCCATGCAGTAACCAGGCTGGAGAGCCTGGTGGAGTAGAGGAGGGTTTTCATATGTTCGGTGAGACAAGAACCACCCAAATAACAGTAGCAGAAAGGTTCCTCCCAGCACAAAGACATGATTACCACACTCATAACAATTTGATCTTTGCAAGACTTCATAACACCACTGTTGAAAAAAGATTTGTTGTGTATGTTTCACGGAGCAAATTAATCTTGATTCTCTTAAATTAAAAATATTTCTGAAAGTGTTATAACATGATATGTTGTTCTGTTAAATCCTTCAAAATAAAATGCCCCCTTCTGATGGAGTAAGTTTCAGCTATGTTATATTTCTAGACCATTATTGTATGTAATTATGGTAAGGGAATTCCCACAGCACTCTACAGAAGACTTGATAGTTATCTCTTTGTCATAGAATACAATCAGCCTTTTCAGGGAGCAGCAGAAGTGAGTCACAGCAGAGTAGCTCTTAATCCAAGCAGTAGCTCAGAAGGATATGTAGAAAGTAACCTTCTATTAGATCCAATGTGGTCCATAAAGATTTGGTTTGTGTCCCCCACACCCCAGGATTAATCCCACATTACATTTTGAGAATATCAGCATCAATTCAGTGCCTTTCCTCCATGTTTTCTTCCCCCTGTACATAAATAGATCTAACAAGATAAAATGCATAAGGGGAGAGGTTAAATGTAGGAAAGCTATTTCTATTATCTGCCTCCTCCATCATGTTGGCAAAGTGACTTGCACATATCCTGTTGCCAGTAGAAGTACAAGCTCAACCCATTTCCACGTCTGTAAATCCAGGTAATATAAACCCAGTAATTCCCAGCAGAAACAGGATGTCAAATGACTACTCAAATCAGAGAGATCAATGGGCTGATGTGCAATTCATTATTATTTTTAGCCAGTCTTAAAACATACCCAGAATGAGACAATTAGTCAATAAGAGTGAACAGGAACTGGCATTCTGAAAACATACCTGCTTTTGTTACTGTCCCAGCAACACAGCTATTTGCACTTATTGGAGAAGCTGCTCATGAGTATCATCTTTACACACTTTTGAATATTCACCACCACCAATCACATTAATGCTGTACAAGCTACTTTTGAAATAGTTATTTTAAAAGCAAACATTCTTTTCTCACTTGTGAAACTGTGTCAAAAGCTTCGCTGTCAAACACAGCCCAGTTGCAGCCATAGTGCAGAATCACAATTAAGCACGGTTAAGCAGCTTGATTTAGAAACTCATCATTGGTTTGTGCTCCATGGGGTCAGTTGCTCTGGGAAATTTTGATTAGTTCCCGAACAGTATGAACCTTGAGAATCCATCCCTTGTGACAGCTCTTCACACAGAGAACACAGTGGGAAGAAGGAAGACCTGACTGAAATATCTATGTAGTTTTCCTTCATGTAGAAGCACAGTAACATATCAGCAGTGGAATATCAACATATCAACAATGGGGAATAACTCCAGAGTTATAAAAGCACCTGTCATTCCAAAATAAGAATATTGGAAAATCTGCAGGTCTTGATTTTCTATTGTTTAGAATCTTGTGTAATAATTGTGTTGTAATTTAAGTATGGTTTAAATGCACCTGGTATATTTTTGAAGGAGAATGCATGGTGGCTGGAATCAATCTGAGCAAAGAAAAAGGTTGGTTCTAGTTCCAAATGACTTCCTGATTAAATTTTTCTTTTCCTTACACTGATTTTTGATTTTCCCCTCACTGATTTTGGGTGATTTGGTCCTTCCTTTCAGGATATATCTGAGGGTACACACAAAATCAAAATGTGTCAAGTATTGCAACGCTTGAGTTGTCAAGAAATACTCACTCTGCAAACAGTCAGCATTCAGGAGGTCTTGGCACTTCTCATGGCACTTGACACCACATTCCGTGCATCTCATGCCTTGTCTGGCTATGCCCCAAAGTAGACCTTCACATTCATAACAGTATGTGGGAGTTGTAGCTGTCCAAATTTCAAAGTTATGAGGTGTGGTTGATGATATAGGATAGATCAAAGCCTGCAATGTCTTCTTGAAGACATGTATTTTCTGTTGGGTAAGAAAAAAAAAAAATCAAGACTTTGGTTGAACTATTGTTTAATGCAAGTGAACTGTAGCTAAATTATATGGCATTTACACTTCCAATGCTACAAAAGATCAGAACATACACAGAAGAATGAATTTGCAAAATACTGATTTACTCATTTTGCCTTACACTTTGAAGGCAAAAGAACACTGGATGACTGTTTTATCTGAATTCAGAAACAGAAAATCTGAAAGCAGAGTTAAGCTGAAATCAAGTTAGTCAATTAACACGAAGTCTTATGCATATTTTTAGGTGGAAATTAAAAAATTCATCAGCATTACATTCATTGGTGCATTTTAATGAGCTACCTAACATTACTTCTGAATATTTAAATACTTTCTACAGGAACCTAGATACACTGTATAAAATCTACTTTGATTATATACAATGCTATCATTCAATAAGTAATGTCTATATAACCTCATCAAATAAAAGCTGACCAGTTTTAGGGTTCCATTTTATCTGCATTCCTGTGCTATATAATATCTGTAATAGCATACTCACTACTTCCTTTTTAAGCATCAAGTTGCTTTTTACCTGTAAACAAGAATGATCCATACTCTCAAAAATCCACATCCATTTCTTTGACTCGTGGCCAGTTCTGCTACAAGCACAGTTATTGGCTGACTAGTACTGTAACAATCTCAGCTCCTCAGTGCTTAATAAGGTAAAACCGAAGCAATGTCTGAAGTTTTGTATGTAAAACGTGGGTTTATATGGCCACAATTGTCCAGCTTATTTATCTGAGCTTTGTTTTGGGGCACCCAGATCTTCTAAGTCCAGGTGATTTACTGGGAATAAAAAAAAAAGCCCAGCAGTGTGTGGGCTGTACTTGGCACCACACAAAGATATGATCTTACAACGTTTGTGGGAGTTGTGTGTTCACTAAACTTATCCATGGCTGCCATGAATGTATTAAAAGTTCTAGAATTGTTCCCTTATAATGAATGATTGATTCTTTTAGAAAGAAGAAACCATATTAAAAAGGGTAGCACAGAGGGATATTTCTGAAACTCTGTCTGTCTTACCACGGCTGTGTTCAGTGAGGATATGATATGAGGTAGCTCTAGTACTGTAGAAAATGGGGAACAACACTTGGGAATTTGTGTGATTTGTCCATTTGTGCTTCAACATCTCTGCCACAGTTCTGATAGTACAGTAAGCAAAGCAAACTTACTCAGTTAAGCATTTGTTAGCACTCCCTTACATTTAATATTCAGCTGTGGTAAGTTCATACCAAATGCAAGATATTAGGCTGTCTACCAATATGCTGACATGTTCTTGGTTTTATGTATCTTCATATCTGCTCAAAACATGTCAGAAATTCTGCTAATGATAAATTGTCTGATAAAAATAAAATATTTTTTGTGGACACGCTTGCATAATGTTGCACAATCAGAGCCATCGATTAAAGAACTCTTGCTACCACGGGAAAAACATTACCATGTAGCAATAAATCTACTGATCCATAGGTTCAAGCACTAAAAATAGCAGAACCAAATGTTAAGTAGCTTAGGCTGCAGCAGCTCTTGAAGTTAAGAGTTACACACTAAAAACAACATCCTGTGAAGCCTAACCAAACATACATGGTCAGACATTTCATGGGCATTTTAATCTGCACTTCTGAGAACACTGTAGAACTGAACTAAGAAAGAAACCTGATACAGCACAAAAGACTAAAACAAATACTGAATTGCTCCCTGGGGTGCTTCTTTGCCTGTCCTGGTAACTTCCCTGAAAGCAAGGAAAGGTCTGCACTGGTTTGATTTGGCAGACCCTAAGAAGGACTGGGATAGTCATGGCCACCTAACTCTGGAGAATTCATCTTTGCACATATCTCCACCTTCTGCCTCCCATGTTACAACTTACCAGCTTCAGGGATCAGAAAGAAACCTAAGGTGAATTTATGCAGCTTGCTGAGAAATGATGCTTGTCAGAAACCACCAGGTATTTGAAGGTTCCTTTGCAGATTACACTGTCCCATTCCTGAACTCGCGTAGCCTCAGTACAAGTCCTGCCCTTTCACCCTGTTCAACTTCACTGTTTTTTCACATTATAAATAAATTTGCCAGTAACTTTTATCTTTTTCTAAAATGTCAGTAAGTAATGAAATGGCACAGCTCAACAGGCCTTGAAATAAACATTTGAGGGTAAATGAAATTTTCAGCTGAAAGACACAATTTGTAAATTGGTTTTGCTGCTGAACATATTCCTTCCCCTGTTGTTAATAAAGCAAATTGCAAAGGAGAATTTTGTTTATCTTACTGTCTAGAGGCTTTCATTCCTATTACTTTTCTCTGTTTAAATGTTTCTGTTATATGAATTCACTGAGCTCTGAGCATGGCAACATTTAGCACTCAATATATAGGAGAATTATCTAGTTATTTGCTTATCCTCTGAACTGAAGTTTATTTCTGTCAGATACTAATTGAAATATTTTTCAATGTCATCAATATATTCTTTTTACAAACTTGCAGCCCTGTCTCTTTGTTCAGCAAAGCAATTAAATGAATGCTCAATTGAAAACATATGTTCAAGTATCACACTGCTTAAAATGTCTTGAGATCTGTGCCTGAGAACACACAAACTCACCGTGCCATGTGTGTGCTCCACCAGAAGGACAACAGTGTCAGGTGGCAAAGCTCAAAGCCTCAGGTTTTGATTTTTTGTGTCAGTGGCATTTGATTTTTTAATAAAAGGCATTAGTTCAAAGAATTTCCATACTGAATCTAATCAACCAAATAACCTGCTCCCACCAGAGTCATTAATATTCCCTCCAGAAAAAGTTGAGGGAGGGTAAAAGCCAGAAAAGCCTTAATCAGAGGAATAACTTGCCCAAAGGGGTTTTTTTTTCCTTAACTCTCATCAGCAACTGCATTTCTTCATCTGCATTTCACATCTTTATTTTGTGGAGAGTATCTGGAGAGTTCTTTTATGCCTGCAAATGTCTGTCCTTTTTGTTTTTAAATCTTGCTCTACCCAGCTGAATGATGCCCTAGGTTATTAAGTTCAGTTGGCTACTTAGAGACCAAGTACAAAAGTATTACCTTTTCCATGTTTTAAATATCTAGCCAGTGGCTTTACTGGCTGTACCATTACATTTATCTGTGAAAGAGGAGAACCATACAATCACAGAATCCTCACTTCCCTTCATATGTTTAGTGAGGACTGGCTCACTAAAGAATAAGACAGGCTTCTCTTATTCACCTCTTCTCTAAATTAGCTTTTTACCCTTTCTCATCAAATGAACTTTGATATATCTAAATTATATTTGCTGTCTGCCTTTCGACTTACATTTTTATTTAAAGATTTCTTAAGAAATATCTATTTCTGATGCAGAGTTTTTCATATGGCATGGTTCAAAGGGATGCCAAAGAGTATAAAGGCATAAAACTACATTGAAATTATTTTTCCATATCTCCTGAATCATAGTTCAGTAGTTTCTCCTGGCTGACAGCATTGGAGAAATGCTCACGCTGAGCTGTCTATTGGGATTTGTTGCCTTCTTTTTTCTTCCTGAGCAGTACCACACAAGTAAGAATCTATAAGGAAAGTCCAAATTATTATTTATTGTCTTGCATTTGTTGGCAACTAATATTATCTCTAAAACCTGCAACTAAAGTCAGAGTCTGGTAGTTTTTATAGGAAGGGAGGCGTGTAAAGGAATAGTTGCATCTGTATTTATCATCATAAAAGGTAATAATGCATACATAATTTTTTTTTTTAAAGAAAGCATATGGAGTATCTTAGTTACTTTTACTGAATTTAAGTATTTTTGCAGAAACTATAACATAGATGAAAAAAGTCTTTATTTTGTACCACTTGCATGGTGTCAATTTTTCTCTATAATTTTGTCTCAGCCTTGAATTTCTTCTTAAGATTCAATAGTTCTCTTTCATTCTGCCAACCTTTGTTACTATTCTGAGATAGCAGAATAAAATAACTCCTTCTTCTACTAAAAGAACATTTCAAACACCAGCTGTTTTCTACCTCAGCAATCCATCCCTGAGCACTACCAAACTGGTACTTTATGTTTACCATATAAGCACAGAAAGTTCACGATAAATCAGGTGAGATGGACGGGTGTGTATTTGTGCTGTGGGTTTCAGTTCCCAGAACACCTGTCAGTATATTCTGTCCTTCCATTCTTCTCCTATGGAGCTTAACAACTGTGTAAGAGAAATTCAACACTTTGTTTTTCTTCAATGTAGCATATATTTCAGAAGGCTATGTATGCACTAGCAAGTTAAGGAACACAAAACGGGCCTGTATTCCTTCAAATTATGACCTTTTGCTTAGTTCAGCCATGTAAATCTTCCTGCATTGCCCTTTAAGCATTCCTGGGGAAAATGACACCTTTTTGTGTTTTTGTTTCAAATAAATTTCTTTTTCAAAATCTAAGTGAAGTCAATAATGGGAAACCACAATACACAGGTTTTACTAGCTATGAGAATATGATTTTTCAAAATATTCTCATGGTCACTTCTCGTATGAATTAAACATTTCTTCAAGAATGATGTGTTATCAGCATGAGTTACATTAAAAACTGTCAAATAGTGTCCCAGCCACCTATAAGGACTGGGAAAAAATAATGACCACAAAGAAACTTTCTTGCAGAGTCCTGTCATTCTAATTGCACTCATGGTGCGATAAAGACACAAAGATGTTGAAAGACTGCAGGTAAAGCCCAGTATAAAATGCTTCCCCCAAATCACTGTTTGGTAAAACAAAGGTTTCTCACTCAGTCTCTTCTGACTGTCATGAGCGTGACTCAGCAGAAGCAAACCTGGCCTTGTCACCGTGGATCAGCCAGCAAATTCTGCTCAGGATCCCTGAAAGTTCCTACCCTGTAAATGGAATGTTTACACACTCGATTTCATCCAGTTTGGAAGTGTCTAAGGCTGAAATAATTTTTAAAGATCTTTCAACAAAAATGTCTCAACTATTTAAGTGATTTAAACATGTCATTGAACACACTTACCATTTCCTCAGTGTTTATGGAGGTCCGGGTGAGCATGGCCATGGAAATACCAGACTTTCGAGCTGCAAGTGTCTGTTTGAGGCAAATGTAAAATGGTTAAAATTATACTTGCAACAACAGCTGTCGAATCTAATGGAGGAATTAGCACTTGATTATGCTATTGGATATAAACAAAACTTCAGAAGTTACAAAACTTTTCATTAATGTTTGCAGCCCAGAACCTTTAAGGTTTCAGTACATAATGGAGGCACACCTTCCATCATCATTACTGTTTCTTTCAGCACTGCCCAGCTGAACTGCCATTTCTAATACGAGACCTGTTATTCAGAGGTTTGTGACTCAGTTTTTTTAAACCACAGGCTGTCACTGTTTTTCCGCTTTGCCAACCAAATTAATGTGGTACAAGGGTAGGCATCCTGCCCTAATTTGGAAGCTGACTGTGCCTGCAGCAACACGGGAGATCATTTTGCAGGAGTCTTACGGTTCAAGTTGTCTGTGCGTATGTATAAAAGTGTTACTTGTCTTGAATAAAAAGACCTTGAAAAACCTTAAATTATTATTTCCCTTAAAGAGAATATTAATTTGATACTATGGATCATAGTACCCATATATGGAGAAATACTCCGATTCCTGGAGGTAGGAAAAAAGGCTGGAACTCTGTCTCAATCTGTCCTCGTTTGGCCACACGATGTTATTGGTATATGAACACTTCCTGGTTCCAAATACATACTTGGTTGTAGAGATAATCTCATTTGCTCTAGTACAGTACATACAAGGGGACTCAAAATGAAGTATTTTTAATATACAACAAACAATGAAATTTTTTATTCCTTATTGCAATACTCCTGGAATTTAAATGGTTCCTTGAGAATTGATTAGCAAGTATAATGATCAGAAGGAAAAAAACCCTGGTGAAATGAGTTCTGTGTGTTTTCCAAATAATATTTCAAATCTGAATATCACTTCTGCTATCAGTACTCCTTTTGGCCTGAGAGAAACGGGTGAGATTTATTTCACTGTGCGAAATATCAACCATAACACTGTTATATTACTGCACTTCACCTGCAGCACCATTCTCATTCTTCCTTTCCCCTATTCTAAATCATTCCAAGTGTGTCTCTAGAGTTGTGCTTTATCTCTGTTCTTCTGTCACCCAGTATCTGCTTTGTCATGCACTGCTGCCCTCATAGTCTAGCCCCGTGCAGATCAATTATACCACCCACTAACCATAAGTCTGTTGTTGCCTTTGTTGTGGGGATACAAATTTTCACCTAACTGTGCAGTGTGTCTCTGTAGTTCACCATTACAGAGCTATTACAGCAAAAGTTTCACTGATATTTTCCATATATTTTTTTGTGAAATACGTATTGGGTCAGAAGCAATTCAGGCTCCCATCAACCGAGGAATTGCATCATTAATCTTTGGATGAAGAGACAATCCCAATTTCTTCCCATTTAATCATTTTAAACATTGACATTTAAAATGGATTTTTATTTATTTATTTAGATATATTAAGACTGTTCAATTTTAATTTTAAATGTTCACTTCCCCTGATTCAATTTTCAATAACTTTCTCTTGATAATAATTATTCTTGCAGACTGACACAAAATTATTAATCTTGTGAAACCAATTATAGGGTAAGAAGTCATCCTTGGTTTAGTAATATTTGATTTGATTAATCCTTGTCCTATTACAATTAAGATGGGATGCAAAGAACCCTCCTTTTATTTTTTTCCTTTTAAACTCAGCAGCTTACCCTCTCTATGCCATTAATTTGCTAGTAGTTTTCCCATTCTATTATTATTAAGTAAATAATTCTGTTTACTTCTCTGGGACCATCTTTTTATTCTACTTCTGTGAATATGGGAAATTCCATCAGGGAGTGCCAGTGAGATTGACAAAGTCACAGGAAAGATTAAACAGAGCCAAGAGGCTTTGCTGTTTCAAACTTTTTATGACAAAATCTAATGCTACAGGACCCGTGCATCAAAGTAAAAAATGGTAAGTAAAAATGCAATGGAATCATTAAGAAGAAAAGAAACAATTTTCATAATCAATAGAGTTTCAGGTTAAAAATAATTACTTTAAAAGCACCCATCTTTTGATCCCTCCTAAAGCAGACGTTTCTTCTCCAAGTCTTGCAAAGTACCCATTTATATTTACTTGCCTGCAGTAAGCTAGTTTTACAGTTTTGAACTGTAGACTTCATGTCCCTTATACTTAGCAAGGGATTTGATCCTTTCAGGTCTCAATTGCACGATCCCAGAAAAGCCAAGTGAGAGAACAACAGGGATGACTTGTCCGGGCAGGAGTAGAAAGGGCATAATAACATTAACCTGGATTATGGGGCAGGGACTGCTGCTGTGTTCTGTCCTCCAGCAATTCATCAAAGTACATGAGCCAGCAGAATTGCAGCTTCATGGTAGCAGTAGAAGCCAATAAACAGATATTATTTCCCATGAGAAAAAGTCAAAAAAGGGAAGCAATTTTGGCCCTGTCCTGTGTCCTTGAAGCTCAGTTCTCCCAAGGGGCGCTCATGGAATCATGGAACTTTACTGTTTTGCTCCTTAGTCAGAAATGTGTCTAAAATTATAGTACAGTGCCCTATATAAAATAACAAAACCTAAGAGAAAGCAGGTAATTAGGTTGTTCTTAATCAAGTGTTTGTCATGCTGGAAGAAAGTGATATCCAGAGGGATTTGGGATAAACCACTATATTTAACAGTTATATGGATTAAATTTACAGGGATTTTAGTGAAAAAAAAATCACAAGGGTTATTTCCATTTATGTATCATTGTCAGAATAAACTGCATCTGCAAGAGAAAGTCCATAAGCAAAATGCTGCTGTTCCGAAATACTGCAGTTGGTGATAATTCAATAGGTAACTGCAGCCAATCATCTGGGCCCTCCAGGAAGTCCAAATTGCCAGAGCATCAGAAGAAGGTGGTGAGCAACAGGAACCTGAAGTGGTTCACCACTCTCCTTCAACAGGACACAAGACTTATGTCAGCAGTTTACACTTGATTACCCTCAACCTGACGTTCAGATTCTACCTCGTGTCTCTCCTTATGTGAGAATTTGACCTGAGAATAAGACCTTAAGTAAGCACTGCTGAATCCTGAACATATGAACAAATTTATAAAAAACCCCAAACGATAAGAGAAGATGATAAAGCAGAACATGGCCTATTTAATTTTTAAATGTTTTTCCAAATCTCTGATATAGGATTTAAAAAAAATTAGTTTCCTTTACGCTCAAGGCCTTTTGGATGACTTAATAACTTGTATTTACACTTTCCTATATATTACCTCCAAAATTGCCTTAGCAGCTTTAATAAATAAATAAATATAATTAGAAGTAATTCTAGAAAAAACATTGAAAAATAGTAACTGTAAGTAAAAGCAAACTGGACTCAAGCTACAATTAAATATTAAATGAAAATTGTGTTGGTGAGAAAAAGAGTCCCTTATCATGATGGAATAAGTGAACTGTGTTTTGTACTAAAGTAGCACAGAGGAACAGGCAGTCAAGCCAATGTAACTGTTCATGTATTCATGCAGTACTCAATCCTCAGGTTTTACAGAGGGTCTCCATTTTCCTGATCACCTTTTGGTTGTTAATTTTTTTCTTTAAAAGAATCTAGAAGCTACTATCAGCAGTTGAAGACAAAATGTTTGTTAACACTTTAAAAAACGCTGGTGTATTTTTAATGCAATGTGAAAGTTACTCACTGCAGGTGAATTAGACAAACATTTTACTGTTTTCAGTATTTAAAGGTTGCACAATTTTAGAACTGTTTCTTTTTGAGAAAACACAGGTAATTTATCAGATCTCAACTTCTATATTCTGGAAGAAGATTTGTACTCTGTTTCTTGACGTGCTGGAGTGGAGGGGGAGCAGGAATGAGGAAGAAATAACTTGAAAGGAAGTAATCTACTGCCTGATATTACTTAGCCTGTCCCATAATTTTTCTATCAAAAAGTTGATGTCTGATCCTGAAATATTCAACAGATATGAAGTGTTAAGCTTAGAAAAAGTATTTGGAAAGGAAATGACGATTCAGCTCAACTACATGATCATTACTGGGCATGACTGTAATATCATTTACTTTTTCTTCATATTTGGAGCACAGACACAAAAGTATGTCCTGTCCAGCCTCAAAGATAATGGTATTTTTATATTTACATTTATTAGAATTAACAAAGCCCTCACAACTTCTCTTTCTCTAAGTATCTACGGCTCTCAGTACCACAGGGGAAGCATCATGCTTGGTTGCTAAAGATTCTGCTTGTATCATTAGAAAGGATATTTGGAATACATTAATAGCTTTTTAACATAAACCTTTTCTAATAATTTGGTATATATGATGCAGAGGACAAGACATTCTCTTATGACTAAATTCTTTATCATAAAATATTTTTCCTACTTTCCAATAGGTCATAATAAAATATGACATTACTGAAATCCATAAAAGTTATGATAATTTTAGAACATTTATCAGTATAAAAGTACTTACCATAGCCTGAAAATCCAGCCAAGATAGGAAAGAAATTTTAAAGAATATTAATAATTTGTCAGATTTATTGCAACACAAATATATATGAAATTATATCTATTTCAGTCAGTATCAAAAGGGTCTATCACTCATTTCTAGCAATATTATCTCTATTTTCATGAAACAGTCAGAAGTAAGCATAAAACAAGGATCATTTACAGTGTATCACATCTTACAAGGACCTGATCATTGATTTAAATGAGGTATGTTGGAATCCACTGAAAGCTCAGAGCTTGCAGGAGGCTGCTTGAATCATATACCTTTAAATACAAATAATCTTTGAAAGGTGAAGACCTACACTAAGTCTGAAATAAATTCTTCTAAAGTTGGAAGAAGTGTTTTAGGCTTACGGATGTAGAACTGAATTGTAATACAATTTACTCTTTTAAAGACATACATAGTTAAAGAACATATAGCTAAGAACTATACTGTAAGTCCATAATGATTCGATTTCAGATTGAATTTCAGTTTTAAAACTCTGCAATTTATACTTATTAAAGACAGAATTCCTTCAAGGAATTATTCTCCAGGGACTGGACAGTAAAGCAGAAATCACTGACATACCAGAATAATAAAATGAAAGTGTTATTCCTCTCAAAGTGAATAATTAACATTCTGATGTCTTAACGCATTCTGAGCTATACTTGCAAAAAGTTCCAACAATTAAAGCAGAGTGTCATTTAATATGCATAAAAATGTCATAATGAGGCAGCAGATTATTCTTGTGTAATACAGCTAACAGTGGAGTGGTTGCTGTCCAAAAGACGGTCTGAGTGAATGCAGGCTCTCCTATGTCACACATGGTAACATCTCATTGATTCCAGAAGGAACTCTACCCTAAAATGGTTGCTGTTCTTTCTCTGCCTGACTGTTCAGATAGCACAGTGCATCACTGTAAACTAACTGAACAGTGTAGCTGAGAGAACAATGAGCAATAATTTAGCAAAGGCTGATCTTTTAATGACAGCTCCAGTAACATTTACTTAGGCTAACTCCCCATCATTTCTTTACAACAAAAAATTGGTTTGGGGGCTCACCGCCATCAGAGAGTAATATGGATTTTATTGAATTATGAATTCTGTACTTCAGGAAAAGAAAAAGAGAAATGTGAATAGCACTTGAAATTCTTCAGAGTAGAGATTTTACTTAATCTTATTTAGACTGGAAGTCAGAATAAATCTCAAAGGAACTGCCATTCTTTTCACCTTGCTGAAATTTATTTTTCTAGACTATTATATATGTTAGAAACCCCATGCCTCATCTTGTACCAAAAGTACACATAAATCTTTAAAATATTCATAGTGAAAAAGGGCTGCTTTTTCAAAGGAACTTTCTTCCTCTTTCAGTATCAAAACAAATCAAGTCAATCACTATTCCAAACCCTTAATAGCACCTGTCTTCATATGCTAACTTAAAATGAGAATGGGCAGTTTATTATTGCATGAAATGCTTATTACTTGATTACACAAGTAATATCTAAATATTCACTGAGATATTCAGATTTATCTGGTCCATTAGAACAACTGCCTCATTGACTTTTACTGGCCTCAATCCATTCTCTCAAGATATTTATTTTCCCTAAAACAATGGCTGACAAACTGTCATTCACGTGCACAGTAGTAATTACAAGAAAGGTGTAGACAACTGACAAAGGAATTCACAGTTTCAGAAGTTACTCACCAGATCTCGAACAATGGGAAACGATTTCTTCCTGCGCAGGTCTGGCATGCTGTCAATGCCATACAGTCCACTGTATTTACAGATAAAATCAAAATTAACAGTTATCAGCTAAAGAAGGTCAATGTTCTGTTTCTTGTGAAAAGGTGGTGAAACTCTTGGTGCTGCTGACTTTTACTTCTGGCATTCACCCAAAGCAGAGTAGCTGAAAGGCTGTTTAATACCTCCTAAAACTTTTTACCATTGATTTAGAAGTTAAAACAGTACCTTTCCATCAAAAGGTCTTGTATATCTGGTAGCTGAGATGCAGCCCAATATTGCAGAGAATATAATTGTTGTAATTTGATAAAAAACTACAATACCCAGTGAAGTCACAGACTGACATCTCAAACAACTCCACGTAAATGTGGAAAACAGAGCTTTTAAGATAATTCCATGGTGACCATCACTGTTTTCTCTCTCCTGGTTTAAGCTTTTTCATTAAGTACACAATTAAACTCCAGTTAGATCTCACATATAACTTGGAAACAGCAGCAAAGAGCAACTTGTAATCACTTCAAAGAATAAAAGGCTGACGCAATAGAATTTGGAAGAATACTTAGTGATACAGGTAACAATGTGCCTCATTACTCCTGACTCTTCAGAACAGTTAACACAGGTATTATCCTCTGAACTTTTCTTGCACTGGATCTTGGAAGATTGTTACATACCTTGTCAGATCTAATTCAGAGATACTTTGAGATTCTCAGAGAAGGTGGTGTATAACATGGTTTATCATCTGAAAGTCCTCATTTTTTTTTTGTACACAAAGCAATTTTTGAGTGAAAAGAGATATAACTGAAATCAGTGACAGAATTTTCACTTCCTTTTGAAGAGTTGGGACTTTGCCCCAGATACTCTTTCAGAGACTTGAGGATTACAACCCCCACACCCCTCCCAGCCCAGCTTACAAACTTGACAAAAAAGTTGACAAATTCTAGATCTGGTTGAGGATTCCTGTTGGATATAGATGTTACAATTCCAGAGCTGCAGCTGAGTCCAGAAGGAATTATGAATCAGAGACCTCAGCTGTTCTGACTTCCAGGCTGGCACATTGATGTAAACTGAAATCAAAGCCGAGTTATGCTGATGGGACAGACTCATCCTCGCTAACTCCACTGCTAATAACTTCAACATGAATCAACACAAGCCAACAGAACTCAAGACATCAGAACTCCAAATGATTTAAGAAAAGTGAAATACATCCCTCTGTTTTTCTTTGCAGAGTTCCTTCTAGTTACAAGAGAAAAAAGGTCATGCCTTTCATATCTTAGTTGAGTGAGTAAAGCACTCAGAGCATAAGAGAGTTTATTTCAACACATATGAGCATTACCACTTTCCAAGCACTATCCTAACGTTTAGCCTATAAATTCAGGAGATAATCTGTTTCTTCCATACTCCCTTCTGATGCACCTGCATCATCATCTAAAAAAGGGAAAGGAATTCATAAGCTGTTTTGTGCAATTCCTTTATATTTTGACATGAACAGTCTTTGTGAAGGTTTGTGATCCTAGAATTTTTTTCAAGAACATAAAGATCAAAGTAGACCCAAACTGCAACTTCCAGACCTACAAACCCAGCAAAAGCATAACAGAAATAAAATAAAATTTCTGAGGTTATGAAAAGTAAATGTATGGAGACTAAGAGATAAACTCAGAAACTCAGGGCTTTTTGCTACTCAGGAGTAGTTCCATCAGCAGCAAATAAAACTCATCCTGTGTATAAGGATGTGTATGCCACAAAGAGTTACTTCTGACAGACAATATCTGTAAAAGCACTTCCATCTATTATTCTGTTCTATAACATAAAATATGAGTGAAATGGAGGTTCTTATTGAACTCCTTTTACTAATCACTAAGGAGTAGCACATAGCAAGGAAAAAAAAATCCAAATTCAAGAATGACTAATAGCCTTTTTCTGGGGAAAAAGTTATGTCTGAATTAAGCATGTTGATGATGTTACCAAAGAAGGAAAAGGTTGGCTTTTGAGGGAACAGCAAGAATGACAGATGAATAAAGGCAGATGAATATATAATGCAAAGATATTTTATTATGACATTAGTGGTGTAATTTATGCTCAGTCAGTAATCTGTCATAACTCACACCTCTGTCTCTTTAAATAGCTTAATCTTCTACTCAATCTGTACTTCCCCCCCACAATCTTTTCATTATGATTTCCAACTCAACTCCAACTTAGCAGAAACATCTTGATCTGCTTATTCCTCTGTGCATCTCTACAATATAAAAAATATTTACTTCTAAGTTATATATATAGTCAAGAGGTACCCATTTTGTTCTTTTGAAAAAGTATTACTAAAACTTATTCCAGTTGTCATCTGCAAAGTGAAATATCAATGAATTTAAATATTTTGGTTTAAAATGCACTTCACCATCTTTTCTGACAATACCAAGGTAGTACTGTAACAATTACCAAGAAGTTTATGTATTCCACTGAAGGTTCTGCAACTTCTCTGCAATTAATTTTTGAAATCTGGCAATGTCAGGAAATTCTTACACGTACTCACTTAGTCACCTGAATACCTTTAAGAGGTTAAAGAAGCTGAGCACATTTGAGGGAAGAATTGCAACCTGAAACTGCAGCTTGTAAAGGGAAACTCTTTCCTTTCTGTCTCCTTTCGTTGTGCAATGAATCAATGATGAGATGAACTCCTAGAAGACAATAATATCTCCTGTCTCTTTGCTGAAATCAATCTTATTTTTGGAGAACTGCTTACATAGTTCTCTTCCTTGCATCTCTACTGAAACAGCCCCGACTTTGGGGATGTGAACTAGAAATCCTCCAATGCACAAATTTTCTGTAGAAGGACAAATTGATCCTTCTAATAACATGTAAGAGGACCGTAAATATGCAAAGATTGTTGACTATCACTGGAAGTAAAGACTAATATACTGATCTGGGTTGTGAGATCAAATTTTATTGAAAAACAGAATAGCTACCTTACCAGAAATAACAAACTGGTTACTGCTGTATTGACAATGAAATATTAGTCTTTGAAACATTAAAGACTAGCCATAGAAAAACTGTTTATGTTAATGTAGGTTATACAGTAAATTCTCTACTCCTCTCCCTATGCCATAACTTGACACAGAAGATGAAGTTTAATCAAAGTTATTATTCAAGCCATGAAAAAAGTCTGTAATACTGACTATTTTTTGTGTGCTTCTGAAGATATTCTGCACAACAATAATGTATTTGTATTTGTCAGAGTCCAAGAAAAATAAGTTTGTTTTACCATTGAGAACATGCCACTGAAGGAAAGGAGTAATCATCTGCATGCAGCACCATCTGTGTATCATTAGCAAATTTCAGAATGGATTAGGCCATATGTAAAATTATCAGTCTCTGACTTGCCATCATACAAGCAGTAAATTAATACACAGCAAGTCTGGAAAAAGTATAACAGTACTACTCAAGATTCATGATAAAAAACCCGGCTGACCTCCTTTTACTTTTAAAAAATATGCAAATAATGAACTCTAAAGTGTCTCATTTCCAATAAAATGAAGAAGAAAGTTAAAATGAAGAAGCCATTATGGGATACCGGTATGGAAAACCCAGTAAAGGCGTTGCTTTTTGCCATTTAACAGAGAGGTTGGATGAGAAACCCCAGGAAAGCTGTCTTTGGTCTTTGCCTTTACTTTTTTTTGTTCTGGTTTTTCTCTCATTTCATGCAGCCAAGGGGAGATCATTGCAGAGAATGAAGGGTTGCAGTCCCTACCGTGGATGTGGGGTGTGCTGGTGAGATGTGCATGTGAGATGGGGTCACAGCTTTGTGCTATGACAGAGGGGGAAGAGCAAGGCAGAAAAGAAGCAGCTGAGAGATTTCTGCATAGATAAGGCACAGTATCTGTGGTTGTGAGGGAAAGAATCTGCCTTCACTTCGAAGAGTAACACGTTTTGGAGACTATAAGAGGAAAAAAGAATCATAGCTAAACTGCAGTCAGTGAAAAGGCTGAGGGATCCTAGAATTTAGGATTAGTTTTGTATGCAGGAGTAGAGTGGGAAGTGTGATTAAAACAGAACCACAGAAGTCTTTGAAATGACAGCATTCTTTGGCTGCATGAGAAGTTAAATGAAAATTGCATAACTGTTTTCAGGGAGGCCTAGTGAAACAGAGGCTTCAAAAAGATATTGCAGACAGCAAAGGGAGGAGAGGCCCAGTCTACACATTGTCAGCAATAGAAGTGATGTTTAATTTAAAAACATGAGCTAGTATTGAGCTATTGTCAGTCATCTGAAGTCGTCCCATGCAGTGGTTACAGGATGTCTGCACAAGGGATTGACACAGTTTATTCTCAGAGGACTCAATATTTGAATTCATTCACCTGTGACTGGAAGAGAGGGAATAAAAAGAGCACCTTCAGTCTGTACAGTCATTGTCAGTAGCAAAAGTTCTCCTTACACCTATGAGATTGTTTTGTGTGTAACCAACAAAAAATTAGAATTCTATACACTCTTGTACATTACCCTTTAAAGGCCTACATCTATTAGGGAATGGTTTTTAAGTAACTCGTTATGGAAAGTAGTGCATATGGCAAAACAATATGGTCACATACAGCTTCCTATAGGCATAGCTATCAACACCTGACTGTCAGTACCTACACTCTTGGAGTCTGCTTACAAAATGCTCTCCTAAATTACACAATAACTAGATGTTAAACTGCTTCTCTTCTAGTTTGCATTCAGCCACTAATCCTGCCCAATGTCACATCTGGCCTCACACTTTTACAGCAACTCTGAAGGTTCTGTGAGTTGTGAAAGGCAGAAACACAAGACTTCGAGGTGTGACAAACTATATGGAAACTCCCTAAGCCACTGAAAAGCTGGAGAGTGCTCTTAATTTTGTTAAAGGTTTAATAAGTACAAATGTTACCTTAACTATCCCTTCCACAGAAGCATGTGAATTACATTAAGCAAATTCAAGCCATAATCACCTTTTAGGGTAACCCCCACCCCAAACCATAGGAATATAAACAGGAAAACTTCATAGTATCTAGCATCTGTTGTATAGCCTTTCAGATACAAAAACAAGAAGACGGATGATTAATTTGATGTCATCACCTTTCTGTGTAACAAAGCATATCTATAGCAAAAAGTGCTTTCATAGTGCACCAGCAAAATGATAATATCCCTTTTAATTAGGCAGCTAATGTAACTGATAAATTTACCAATGACTTTTACTTCTTTTCCTTTTCAGATAATTCAAAATAGGAAGGAGAGATTTTCCTCAAAGGAAGGAATCCCTACAACTAGATACAAGATAACTTCATCTGGAGACAACAGAGCAAAATGTTTTGGTTTCTGCCACATTCACTTTCAGCTAGTGGAAGATCTTTTTCCCTTGACCTTTTAATTTTTAAGTACCAGACTGATATTATATTACTAGCATTACATTACTATACATTTACTAGAATGAAGACAAAATTGTGTTACAGCTTCAAAGGACATCTGTCTTATATGCAAAAAAAGGTAAAAACATCTGTCATCCAGTCAGCCTTGGTACCTGAATTGTTGTATTGATTTCTCAAAAAAATAAGTTATTAAAAAAATTAAGAGAAGACACAGTCAGTTTTGTTGTGTATCTTCCCTTTAAAATAATGCAATTTCTTAAAATAAGAAAACTTAGAAAAAAAACTACAATTCTATGAGACTACTTTGCAGATGTAAATATCAACGTTCACAATCATATTGGTACTTACCCAGTAAATGCCTGGACTGCATAAAGCTTGGAAGCATCCAAGGAACTTCCACTTACTATCCGAGCCTTTAACAGAGACCAGAAAAAGTACAGTCACTTGGTTGCTTTTAGTAAGTTTTGCACAGAATTTAACTGCATCAAACATATAAGACATATGAAAATGTTTAGCAGGGTCAGCTCCAGGCCAAAGCTAGAGTAACTTATTCCTTTGGGATACATTTTGGTAGCATTCAGCATTTACTGAAACACACTGGAAGAACCCATGGGAAGATAAGGTATTGCTTCCCAAATACTGTTGTCCTTTAAGTCCTATAGTGTATGCAGTGTAGGTGATAATTAGAGGCAAATATGAGATATCATGTTTGACAGCAGCAGACCCCTGTGTTGGCAATTATGATAAGCACAACAGTGAGGGTTATCCTGTTTATAAATGCAACACATTTGCAATACACTCAAAGGAGAACGAAAGAGTGGAAAGCTGGGGAAAAAAAACCATGCAGATTTCACAACTAAAATGAAGGAACAAAACAGGTCAAAGAAGTCACAAACAAACATCAACAAAATACATGATCCCTATAGCAAATAGGTGATTTTAAACCTTTTCATCCACAGAACCGCTATCTGAAAGAGAATTGGGAAGAAGGGGAATATAGGTTAGACAAAACAATCTCTGAGAAATATCTTATGCCATAAAAATCTGTCACTCTTTTAATCTGGATTCTGTAGACCAGAATCCAAGTAACACCTGTGCTTATAATTGTGGCAATGTCACTCTCACTACATTCTAAACAAGCAAAAAGATGTTCTCGGTAGATAAGAACCCCTGCCACTTATGAAGGGCTGTGTGGATCGTATATAATCTACATACCATAGCTCATCTCCACGTGATTTTTAATTTTACTTTTAAAAAAATATTTTTAATACTAATGAATGTATATTTAATATAGTTGCAGTGTTCCAGAAAATAATGCTCTATTTTAAGGAAAAGGAAAGTGTTTCTACCAAGGATATAAACACACCACACCCCCAGCTGCAACTCCTGAAATGTAACTATTCTATCACAGCCATTCATATAATGACAGAAATTGTTCCCAAATGCCAATAGAAGAACCACAATTGTGAAAGTATATGACATATATAGTTCTAAATTGCCTAATGCAAAACCATGATGTATTCGCATTTACTATCAGACAGAAAATGTTTGCTGATATCTAAAATAGCTACCCTTATTTTATTGACTTTCACACTTTATAGTACAGTGCATAAATGAAACTGTGTTGTTTTAATTGTCACCTTACTGATCTTTCCATTTTTTTCCCCAAAGGGAGGACACTTCTATGAACCCTTTAAATAGTTTGGGTATTTTTGAGATGTTTGGAAATATCTCAGGTTATATACTTTACAAAATAATAATTTACACCTTAAATGTGTGCCATATTTCATTTTTAAACCACTTTATCTGCAAGAAAATATCACATTCAAATGTATACATCAAAAATATACTGGCAAATGTAAAGCTGAATACACTATAGTAGTGACAATCCAGGGAACTAAAAGTATCTATTATGCCATTAATTTAAAGCCTAATTATGTGATCAAAGCAAAGCACATGCACAAGAATGGGCAGAATTAGAGACTGGAGACAAACTGTTCAAAACATATTTTACAGGTCAAATTATATCTGATTATGTATTATTCAAAAAGTTTAAAGAGGACTAAGCTGCTAGATATTAGCAATGTCACAACACCAAACTGGAATGCACAGAAAACCAGCTATGCAACAGTCTCTTCCCCTTGGTGAGACCAGAAAATTTACCATTTTCCTATGCTTGACTACAGATCTTAGATTTCCCTCACTGCTGTTGTGAACAATCCTTTTAGAAAGAGTATGCCTAAAAGAATGAACAATAGTTATTTGGCCTAAGGCAAAATTATGCTCTGAGTTTTACATAATATTAAATTAAAACTCTTACTAATAGTAAACTCCACAATTTAGTGAAAGTACAGTAAGCACATCTCTGTGCACCAAGAATATCTGCTTTATATGCTGTGAATTGATAATTTTCATAGTTCATCTCCTGAATACAAATGGTCATTATATCAATTTCTATTTTCATGTTTTATAAAAATTCATTAAGGTACCTTTCTGCTGGGATGTGAACTATTCTGATGTTTTGACTTCACAACTTCCCTACCCCCTCTTCTGAAACAGTAGAAGTTTCATTTAGCCTCAGAAATTAATTCTTGGCTAAATGAAGCTATAGCGTTTTAGTTGTCAAATTACCCTCATTTGACTGAGCAGATTTATAAAAGAGCTTACTCTTAAAATACCTTTTTAAAATTTATTTCTTTGTGAAATGCATTTGTCTAACAACATCAGACATGACTGGCTACTCTTTCTCCACAAGCATAGAAAGAAGATTTGGACAACCCTATGATCCAACTTTCCCACTACAAAATTATTACAGCATTTCATAAGCAGGGTGAGAGCAGAGCCAGGAGTACCGAGGTGACTGTGAGCTGGGCTGGCTGGAAACAGGAATATGCTTTTATGAGGGCTAAAGAAAATATGAGGAATACTTAAAACCAGAATGTTGGAGCAGCATCTGCTCAAATGAGCAAGAAAAAAGGCAAGAGATCAGGACTAAAGTAGGAGAGACTGAGACTGCATCAATTCTCACACTTGTGAAAAAGGTGAAGAGGAATGTGGGGACTGAGGGAAGTTTTAAGCAAGACACTCCTTGGAAGTTAAGAAGTCTTGTCATTATTTGTTCATACAACCTACACCTTCTTTCTAGAATGTCTAATCAAAACATTGGTAATACTGCCACGTAAAGACACATAATAAATCTCATATTATGTGGAATGCAATTTTTAAATAATTTGAAGGTACTTTGCTACAAGATGCCTAAAGAATCACACGAATGCTACGTTTAATTCGCTTGTTTAGAAAGTTTTTTTAAAAACTGTTGACTTGTCTTCCACATTAAATGGAATTTTCCTTACTTCTCTTGGGTTTCAGGCACCTTCATCAAATTTCACTACGCTTCTTTTACTGGAACCTAATTGTGCCTCAATTTAGGAAGGAGAGTGACAATCAAAAATTAGGAAGGGAGAAAATACATTATGTTTTTTGATTAACTTGCTCTTCTTTGCAGTTGCTTCATATAAAAAAATAGACAAAGAAACAAAAAAAACCAACTACCTAATGGTCTCTTTTCTGAATAGAAATTGCGTAAAGCAAACAACTGACGCAAATTTTCCAAAAAGAAATCTTGGGAGCATCTCCTTTTTTGTAACAAATGACTGCATCTTCAGAGATTAAATTAGTTTGAAAAATTCTTCATTGTTTACTGCTTCTTCTGAACTCACCATGAGTGAAATAATCTGAACTGTGGAAGTGTTCTCTGCGCGTATGAGAGCACCAAATCAGGAAGTGTCCAGAGTCACCAAGCAATTCACTTTAGTAGTCGTTAGGCTACCAGAATAGACAGGAACATTCCTTGATGTAGATAAGAAATGAACTGTGATTATGTAAGAGACCATTGAATGTATTTTCAAATCAGGGATTCAAGGCTAGACATCTCAGATTATACTGCTGAAGGACAATGATTTACTTAAAAGAGCTTATCTTCATATAACTCATCTCTGTCATCCACACATTCAAAAAACTAACCAAAAAAAGTTATGAGTGTATGAGAAGCAGTGTAAACAGTGGTCCATTTAGTTAACCCTATGGGGTATTATTTTATTTCAGTTAGTTTGCTCCTTATATTTTTATTTTAAATGACAATTTATTACATTATGAAATACCAGTAACTGCCTTCATTTTATGCCTCTATACCAGATGCCATTTTAGATAACAAGAGAGTGTTTTACTAGGATTATAGGAAAATTCCAAGGAGTGATATTGCTCCTTAGTTGATGCTATTTTTTCTCTTTGCACTCCACATATACACACTTGTATAGTGGAATGACGAAGAGTAGGGAGGTCATCTGCCTACATTCTACTGAACATTATATTTACAAATGTCCAATATTGAAGGCAAAAGGAAAATGCTTCCCGACCCCTTTTTTTAAAGGTAGTTAATTATATTTAATTAGGTAACTAAACATGAAATTAGTTAAAATTAGTCGTTAAATTTTCATTAATAAATTTCAGGTGTTAAAAAGCTGTATAATATTCAGCATAGCCATTAAATCCTGTCTTTTGCTGAAAATGGTTCATAAGTATCCACCGGGGTAAATTCATCCCCAGATGGTGAGGACTGGAGAGGTGGAGTGAGAGGCTTGTTTGGTATTCTTTCAGTACCCTCAAATAAGTCCCCAGGCTATTCTCTATCCCCATGTCAGTTTAAACCAAGGCTAAGTAAAATTTCCAACAAGTGCTTGTTAATGCTGCATAATTACTATTTGAACTTAGTCTGAAAACTATCATATCTTAGAAAACTGTAACTTTACATGGTTCTCAACTGTTTTCAAATTAAGTCATGATCTAATTTATTCATTTTTAGTAGAAATGTTACTATCTGTAGTTCACAACACAACACAGGAATTCATCATACAAGATAACTAATGTCTATACCCAAACTTCTGAGAAAAAAAATCTGTGAAAGATGCTGAAAAGGCAGATTCTTCCAGTGTGAAAGGTATATTAGCAGTGGAGATATAGAAGTGAACACAGATCTTTGCTTTTGTAGCTTGAGATACCATCAGAAATACAACTGGACAATAAGTCTTATCCATCAGCAGAGATATTTATATCAAAGAGGTTTGAATGGTTCTGTGCTCCCTCCCCATCATAATGATCCTTCAAGTTTTGTGTCATTATTTCACTTCTACATTTTTCTGAGCAGCAGACCATTGTCCCAACACACTCCTCTTTCTTTAATGACTGCAAAAATTGAACTATTGAAAAAGAGAACTATTCACCATCACCCCCTGCCACAGTGCAAGAACTGTAATAAGGTTCTAAAAATCTAAGCTGCTAGGAAACCCTAGAGTCAAAATGAATCAATCCCTTGATTTTCCACTCTTGGAAGTGTGTGTAATTGCAGAACACCAAATTGGAAAAAGAATTAAAGTTCATCATTCTTTCAATGTACCATTTCAATCTTTAGTTCGGCAAAGTGGCTGCAAGAATGTCAAACTGACTGATAATTATGTCATTCCTGGAAGCAAACCCTTCAGACAAAATTGCTGGAATTAGATAAAAATACAGCTGTTCCATGGAAATAGCATGTGTAAAGTCCTCACCTTCAGAAGCAGTCTGGAGTCTGAGCTGGGCAATTCTAATTAGCATTTATTGCTAAAAAAGGGAAATAATGGAGGGAAACCAGGTTCAAATAGAAGCAGCACATATAGATTGTCTGCCCAAAACAATGACACAAATTAAGCCATGCTAAAATAATAAATGCTGTACCCACAAGCTATTATTGCCACTACAGAACAGACCATTACACTGTGCAAGCCTAGAGGATGTTGTATTGCTGGAGCCTATTCCAGGAGGATACTGTATAACGCTTGAAAGAGAATATTAAAGCTAGCACATCATGAGAGATGAGTGATGCTTGTCTGACAAAGAGAAGGTCAAACTTGAATAAAGCTTGGTTGACAGGAGA